AGCTAGTTTCATTGTTTGGGGTTCTGCAATGGTTTGTCTGGCAGTAAGAAGTTTGTTTTAACAAGCTCAATGTATCATACAGTGGAGGGCAATAAAAATAAAATATGTATGGGATCCATCTCTATGTACCTGGTAGGTTATGGATCTGTATTTTATTTATATACAGAGAATTATTTATTTACTTTAACCTGGAGCTGTGGAAAAGTATCATCACTTTTTATATAGTATGTCATATTTGTTTTTGAACAAAAAATCTGTGTTTAGAACCTACCAAAATATGGGGTTACCCAGGTTTAGGACAACAAGTAAGGTAATGAAATCATCTTAAATGAGGTTGCGAAGCAGGCTGTAACTGCAAGTAAGGTCAAATTCTTGCTTGGTTGAAAATAACAGTCATTGATCTTCCCTCTCTTCTGCACAAATTTCATGTTGCACAAGGTCAGAGGTATCAGTTTTTGCTTCAGTAGTAAATAGTACAGATACAAAAACTGACCTTTTGTCTTGCTTTTAAATTGTAGATACTGCATTTATTTTGAAAACACATATTTTTTTGCCAGTCAGCTGTTTAAACTAGGAAGCAAAAAGGGATTTTTCTGAAACTTTCAAAACTTTCTGATTCTTTGAGACAATGGATGCTTATCTGACAGTCTTTGGCTTGTGCTGTGTGGTTGCTGTAAGGACAAGGACCAACGCATTCTCATAAACGTCTGACGGTTTACATTACGTTACGCAGAAATATAACTTCTTCAATCTTGAATGTAAGCCCAAACAATTGGGTGACATAGCTGGAAAAACAACACGCCAGATCCTATCACACAGCCACTTTGAGATCACGTTAAATTAAACACTGCCTACACTCCATTTAGATAAAGAATTTCAGATAATGTAAAAAATTGGAATGTGTTTCTCCAACAACTAAGTCATCTTTTTTCATCACAAATTCAGAAAATCTGTACATAGTAAAGCAGAACATGGCAATATTAACATTTAAACCATGTTACTTAGCTATATAACTTTAACATAATGTTATGTCATCACACCAAAAATCTAAAATAGCAAAAATGACCCCAGCATCATTCTATTTTAATGTTGCTTTGTTTTGGCAGGTTGTCATTCAGTCACTCAGATCACACTCTTTGAAGTCTAAAGCCTGTAAATGCAGTAGATGTTAAAAATAAGTATTTTCAGTGGTACCCAGATGATTCCAACCTAACCAACTAAGCTGGCTTGCAGGCAGTCTGCCACTACATAACAGCAGAGGATGGTTTATGCTTGTGCTCTTGCCCACGTTGTTTGCGGGTACATAACATGTAGGGCTTTCATGCTACAACATGGATTTTTGCAAGGGCATGTACAGCTGAAATGTGAAACCTCTGATTTTGACTCGGCACAGCACAGCATGTCTCTGTCAGTTCCTTAAGGCCTTGCAGACACCTCTGCACTAACAGCTTCTGTTTATGAATCAAATCTAGCTTGATTTTCATTCATACCACCCATTACCAAAGGCTTTCATTCACATGCAGGTTAAATGTTTAACATTATGGCACTATTATTTATCACTTTAGACACATTTGTTACATTAACGTTTCATAAATCTTTCTGAATAGGTGTTTTTGTTCAAATATCAGTATTTAACTCTATGATATACACTGTAAATGATGACCGACTGTCCTGTATTTGAAGGAAATTACTTCTACACAATACTGTTGCATAAGAGTTGAACAATTCATTAGATTTTACTCTACCACAACTGGTTGTTTCTACTGTCTCTGTTAATATTTCTGTTTGGTTTAGATGGTCTGGTTTCTCCAGCTTTAGGGTTAAATTTGAATCATCCTCTCTTCACATACATCAGTCTGTGGCTTTTGAATGCAGCTGATCCACAAAGTCCTCAAAGGACAAATTATGGAAACAGCTGCAATTAGTGGCTGATTTATATATTGTGGTAGGACCTTCGAGACTAATTAAAGGCCTTTGTATTCTTGTCTATTGGAGACATGCTAATTTGAAGCCTTTTGACTGAGATTCACAAGAACAAGTCTGAAATTCATGCATCTCAATTTGCACGCGCCCACTGCAATAACGAACATTCAGTGTAGTTGTTTAAATGAGAACTTGTAAACATGTTCCATAATATTCCAATCTCTACATCATTTGAGTACATTTTGTAAGATGCCAACAAGAACTGCTTATTTGATGGAGCTGCAGGAGCACTTGTACATTAGGCCTTGCTACTGTGCTTATGGCAAAATTCTGAAAACGGCAAAGCAAATTATCCGCAGGATTTTCCTCCTAAGGAGCAGGTCTCCCCCCGTTTATTAAATTTGTTAAAGTGCTTCTGAGCAATGCACATTTTATCCTCTTACCAGTCAAATTACTATATACTCCAGCAATTACTTAATGTACTCTAATGAGATTTCCCCATGAAATGGAAGGATTCATTTATTTTAATGTGACGCATTCCACCGGGCGGTTTATGCATCACGTCCCCATCGCAATCCAGGGAGGCTTTGAGTCATAAATAGTAAGATGAGCTTGGCTTCAAGAATTGCCAGTCTGCCCACAGCAGCAGCAGATATGCAATTCTGTGATCCAGGCACTGGGGGTCTGTTCAGGGGCATCAACAGGTCACAGGTGCTATTTCAAAGCTCAAGCTCTGCAACCAGGTATGCTCTAGGATTAGTGAAATAATACTGCACTAGCTGGCAGTATTTGTACGCCATGCTTGGGGAATGCAAAATCCGGAACATAAATTACACACGAAAACACTAAAATGAAATAAAATAAATCACTTTGTGCTCTTTAAATGCCGTTTGGCTGAATTAAATTAAAGCCTTTTAGATTTTTTCTGTGCCCTTTATTTTATAATAAGGGTAATAGTATGCATATCAATCCAGTAACTGTTTGGATAATGTATCTGGTGGTAAAGTCCACCTAGTTCAATTGTTTTATATTTCAAGAAATAGTATTGTAATCCTCCAACTGAAGGCAAGAATTATCAGTATTGCAGTGAAATGTACTAAAAGCTCATATTCTACAACAAAAAGCAACTCCTGTAACCATTAGTCAATTAATTGATTAGTTGATTGTCAGGAAATTAATTGACAACAATTCTGACCATTTATGTCAATTATCAAGCAAAAAGGCCAAGCACTGTCATGATTCTAGCTTTAGGGAAAAGAAGCCCTAAAATTAAGAAAATAAGCCCTAAAAGCAGGGGATTTAAAGAAGCTTGTTTAGTGTCGAGATGGGATAAGCTATAACTTGACCAATGTAAATGTACCTAATCAAACCAACAAGGTGCATTGTTGTAGTCACTTTTGAAATGTTCTGTGACACCACAAAACCAATATTTTGTTTTGGAGTCTAGATAGAGATTGGAACTTATCAAATCCAGAAAAGAGACTCAGAATCTGCTTTAACATGCATTAACTGGCAGAATGAATAACTTAAAATATAATATGGTGATTTAGTGTTATAGTGGTGTTAGAAATGTTGTGATCTCAATGCAGAAAAGACTGCTTTCAAAAGGTTTTCTCTATAGCTCAAAGGATGCCTATAAACAGTGTAACTTTTGATGACGGCAAACTTTTCTTTTTCAGAACTGATGGAAGATGGTTTGAGACATTTTGCTTTGTTATTGAAATAGATGATATGATGAGAGTGGAGGTGGAGGAGCACATTTTTCGATAAGCTGATGCTCCTACAGGCATCTTTTAAGAAGCTGTCTAAACTGTCTACTTAAAGGCTGCAGCCGAGCCACAGAGGGACTTTGTTGTCTTACATTTGACAGTACATGTAATATGTGTTTCTTTACCAATTACACACAAATAGTAGAACTTAACTATTTTAATGTTAGATACTGAGTACATGACAGTGAAATATCGCCAAAGAAAGTACTGTTGAATATTCTGTGTTAAAATGAAACTCCAGTAATTTAGCATTTTACTTCCATGACAAGAGAGACCACAAGAAATCGACAGAGGATGAGATGACTTTTATTCCCTTGTACGGAAAATTTGATCAACATTTCCAATAATGCACCCAAAGGCGTCATTTTGTTAAATGTGTGCCTGTTCATTGTCCACTTTTTTCAAGCTCCTTGCCCCCAGTTTGTAACACAGACTTTTTGTTTTTAAGTCTCCAAGGCCATCAGTATGACACCATCATGATTTTTTTCTTAGACCAGAAAGCTCCCTTTAGAGCTATACAGAAAAACTGTTTTTAGAGGTAATGTCTTTGTGACAAGCTGGTCTATACAGTATTTACTGAATGAAATATGTGTAGTTCCGCTTTAAGTGACATAACTAGAATTTAAAATACTTTATTTTGATTGTTTAAGCTTTATTGTCTGTGCTGTAGGCCCAATATATCATGAAAAAACCCATTTCAACTATTGAAAAAAAAAGTTGTTTTCCTCTACACTGCAGGATATAGTGCAGCACTGATGGTCTTACACACACTACCCTCTCAAGCGATACCCTTTTTTGATGTGCACATAGACATGTTTTGTACATTTTGAGCAGTAGTTCATCTCATCTAAAAAATGAAAAAATCCTTTGAATTTTATCTAAAAGAAGAGTGCACGTCCAGTTATCTGCTCCACCAATCTGGTATTCTGGTGAAATAAAAGGACATCTTAATGGAGAGACAAGAGTCTGAGATAGTCTGCTGCCCTGATGGAACAGACAGACAGACACACATATATACACACACAGACACACACTTTAAATCCATTATGGCTTTAGACTTCAAAGCTGATATTGGTTTTTTAGCATTCCCTGAAAATGGAGAGGGTTGCTCCATGTTTACTGAGCAAATTTAATACCTCGTGTAATGTGCACTGCTCCCCTCTCTGCTAGTCCTAAGTGCAAATGCCTCTCAATATTTTTCTCCATTTAGCCCTACCTGGAATTGTGTCTGTGTTTCTCCTTTTGCTTGTGATTATGTCTGAGGCGAATTGTCATGGGCCTTACGTCTCTTTCTCTTTCGTCTTTCAGGTGGGATTTTCGAACAAACAGATGGACCTGTTTCACTTGTTAGCCCTGAGGAGCTTGCCTTTAAATTTGCTGTCAATAACATAAACAGAAACAGGACTTTGTTGCCGAACACAACACTAACATATGACATACAGAGGATTAATATCTACGACAGTTTTGAGGCATCAAGAAAAGGTGAGTGGCTTGTTCTATGTTTATTCAAGGATTGTGATTACAGTGTGGAGGAAGACAAGTATCTGGTCAGTATAAAAACACTAAAATGTCTGTGTTAATTTGATAATGTTTGATAATGATCCTGACTAAATGGACTGTGACTGAAGAGGCAACACACTTCATTCTCAAACTTTCTTCTCTTCTTTCTTCTTCTCTAGCTTGTGACCAGCTGTCTTTAGGTGTGGTTGCAATATTTGGGCCCTCACATAGTTCATCGTCGAATGCTGTGCAGTCCATCTGCAATGCATTGGAAGTGCCGCACATCCAGGTGCGGTGGAAACATCACCCAATGGACAACAGGGACACCTTTTATGCCAATTTATACCCGGATTATTCTTCTCTAAGCTATGCTATCCTGGATCTGGTGCAGTTTCTCAAATGGAAAACAGCCACTGTTGTATACGATGACAGCACAGGTGACGGTTGTACTATTATATTTATTGCCACAGACACAGTCCACATGTGCAAAGTACTCCACTAAAATGAATTAAGAAAAAAAATTTAACATTTGATGATCTTCTCATTTGTGATTTTTCTTTTCTTAAGGTCTTATAAGACTACAGGAGCTGATAATGGCCCCGTCCAGGTACAACATCAGGCTAAAGATCCGACAACTTCCTCTTGACACGCAAGATACGAGACCCCTTCTTAAAGAAATGAAGAGAAGCCGGGAGTTCCGCATCATTTTTGACTGCAGTCATCAAATGGCTGCACAGATTCTCAAACAGGTTAGTGACAGTCCTGCAGAGTGTGGCATAGACCCTTTCTAATGTTAGATCTTAATATGGCCCAGACAGATCTAAGCATGTGGTCCTCTTCAACACAGCTGTCAACAGCACAAGTTGATTCTTATCAGATCAGAGTGAAAATATGGAGGCTATGACTTGCCAAGAACTTGGCAGTGGTTAGGTGAGAGGAGAGTAGCAGCAGAAGGTGTCAGTAATAATTAAGCAGGAGTGAAATTTTGCTGTCAGAAAGTGGGATTTCCACTTGTGCCACCTGACCCCTCAGAATCCCTTAAAAGTTAATCAAATACAGTGTCCAATCATAGACATCAAATCTAAAATTGACTTGTGGAGAATATACTTCTTAGAGTGAACAATCGTCTTGTGATCTTAAGCAGAGAAAGCTGTGACCCGTTGTGATGCACAGCTGTTCATTTTTGCATATGTTGCAACTGGCTTTGTATTGCAGACTGTAAAAGTGTACTGATGTAATGCTTAGTTCTTACAATGATGGAAAACAATGCATAAAACCTGTACTAATTCAGTTTTTAGTGTCCAGCACATGGGTGAAATTTGAACGGTTTGACTTTATACATATGCCACAAACAGCAATAAGATCCAAAATGTTTCATTATCAAAACTGTACATACATGTGTTTTGATACAAATGATCGTCACTCAACAAACAACTGTCAGTATAATGCTCGCAGTAGAGATTGTGGGGGTGGTCTAAAGCTCTATAGATGTCAGAAACAGGCAGGTGGATCCCCCTTCCATTCAATTTGCTGTCAGCTTCTGTTTACTAAATGCATCATCCCCTCCCAAGTTATTTAAATATCTCAGTCCTCCAAAGTTATTGAGATCTAAGGTGACATATATCTGCTCGTGGCCAGTCTGCACATATCGCACCAAGGAATCAGTGTCCTCTTGAGAGAACAAGTGAGAGAAGGTTTTGAGGCAAAAATGCTCCAGACAGTTCCCTTCCGTGACCATCTTGTCAGGGTGCTATAGCACAGACCACAGCTTTTAAAAGATACCTACTGTGTTTTGGTTGAAAAACAGCAAATATTGACTTTTGAAAAACTGGAAAGAGAATTTCAGACATTTTGTTCTTAAAATTATGAAGCAGAAAATATAGAAAAACTAGAATAGATGACCGTACATTCTAACATTCTGGTAAATCACTAATAATACTGCAGCACACAAAGTATGATCTCTCAATGAACTTCTGTGTTGTAGTCACCTAAACAGACTTTCTTACTAAAGGCAAATTTGGAATGAATATCACCTACATTTTGACTGCAGTACAACTACAATATCTTAACATTTGCAGACTCATCCATTCACAGCTTTACAAAAAGTTTGGTCCTATCCCAGACAGTAAGTAGAAATCAGAAGCATTGTGTAATGTGATTTGACTTGTACTGCAGGTGCATGTGTATGAAGGAGGATCTGATGCGACTGTTTTAAAATAGTTTAAATATCATCTCTGAAGTGCTGTATTACGCCCTTGGAACATTTTGTTTGTCATGCCATGATTCTCAACAATATGTCTCGTCCCGTCTTCGCTCTGACAAGCTTACCTGCATTCTACATGCCTCTGTCAAGTTATATTCCTTGTCAGATTGGAGAAAATAGGAAGCCTGTCCCAGGTGTCTTTAAAAAAAAACAAAAAACTGTGTGCCTTTTGTTCTTATGTTTTTATTTTTCATTTGGTGCTGTTATGCTGTATTGGTGCTAACAGAGCTATATTGAGTTTTATTAAAATAAGTGGTTGACAATAGAATGCTGACAGAATTATATTGTATCATAGTGTACATCATCCTGCAGCAGTGGACAAATTACTTCAATTAATGAAAAACCCCTGCACACAATACAAAACATGACACAAAGTTTCAAAGTCATGTATTTGGCTTGATGTCTATAGACGAAGAAGTGAATTTGCCTCCACATATGCATAGCATCTTATTTACATAACCTTGGCTTTTTTTCACAACAGATGGTACAATTAAATGGGAAGCACAGCCGCCATGAGAATGTGGTCCCTTTGAATGTAGATTGAGTGAAACAAGTGGCGGTGATGGAGTGTTCGGATATGAGGCAAAGATTGCAGAGCTCTTTTGATTGAAGGCTCGCTCGTCTCCTGGGATAACGTCACATGCCCTAAGCCATTGCAAACCATTTAAATGCATAGAAAAGCATCAAGTACTGTTGCTATTCTGTAATTCTGTGGACCACATATGGTTCAGAATTCCCAGCAAGCTATAGCAGAACCTATCTTCTTTGTCAATATACTGCATGCTCATTAAAACCTGGCTATTTTTTACTTTACTGATAAAAAGATTTTTTTGTTCATCTCTTTACCATTGTTTGTTCTGTTGATTCTAAAATGCCCTGACATGACAAAATGACCATTTTCTTTATCCTGTCTCTATTCATTCACACCTTTCTTTCCCATCCTCCATCTCTGTATCCCTCCAGGCCCAGACCATGGGGATGATGACAGAGTATTACCACTATATCTTCACCACTCTGGTAATGTACCATGCTTGTTAATGCAAATAGAGTCTCGTTTGTTCTCATCTCGTCACCGCTTGAGTTTTTGATGAATAGTGGCTAATTGCCAATGGGGTTTGGATCCAGTCCATAATATCAATTTTGTTTGACAAGCTGCAGGCATAATGGAGTCTTCAGTGTGCTGTAGTAAACACTCTGCTTTATAGTAAAGTCAACAGAAGCCTTTGAGGTGGCAGCATTAAAAAACAACAGCTTAAGATTCAAAACTGACTATGACTTCCAAGTTAGAGGAAGGACTTCATTTGGGCCTCTGTACTAAATGATATATCATTTAATTAAATACCATATATTTTTCAAGTGAAAATGATAAAAAAAAACTGGATTGGAATGAAAAAAAAAATATCATGAAATTTAATCCAGTATCACTCTTTGTGAATGTGGGATTTATTGCAGGAGTGTTGTTTTAGACTGCATTAGTTTTAGCTAGGTGTAACTAATAAATTGTCAGGTGAATTGTATAATTATATATCTTCATAGGAACAAATAAGTTTGGGGAGTGGAGTGCCACAGACATGGTAGGGAAGACAGAAAATATTTAGAGTTTAGATCGTTGTTGGTCTTTTCAAGACAATGGGGATGATGACACACAAAACATTGGCAGACTTACCCTTTAAAATTAAAATTAATTCAGGCTTGAAGTTTTTTTTAAGTATCAGATATGTTTAATGTTACCTGGGTATGTTACAGTGTCATTCCCCTCTTGAGCGTTTAAAGTTCCCTTTCTGATGAAATGATTTCGCCTGACTAATACAAGCAGACCCAGCAGGGAGGTGTTGCTGCTCTTCACTAAGACGCTGGCTATTTGGTGACAAACAGACTGAACGGGAATGAATACCAGCATGATCTGTGCTGTTCCTTTCACTCTCTGTTATTGTCTCTGTTCCTGCCTCTCTCGTGCACGCACACTCCCTGTCTCTCTGGACTTGGCCCGTCTGTTGTGATAATATGGTATGACACCGAGGTCCAGGCATGATGTGTGTCAAATTTCACGCTTGACAGCGTGGCAATAACATTGGTCTGCCATGCATCGTGTTTGTGTAGCATGTCTATTGCTTTAATAGGGATATCCAAAATTCCTTTTCATTGCCAGTGATCTGATGTATGTGTGTAAGTGTAACAGTTTCCTAGCAGACGGAACAGAAAAATATTTACTAGAGGATTAACTCAAAAAAATGCAGCAACAATATTTTTCACATGAAGGCAGGATATCTTTTTAGAATCAGAGTGTGGTATCTATCTATATCTGCAATATGTTGTCATATTGATAGACACACCATTAAGAAGATTATACCTGGCGGCTTGATTTGATCCAAAAAGATGAATACTTGTATGCTATACACAGCAATACAATTTCCTCTCGATGGAATCCACTGATGTCTGTGTTTTATCTTCTGAGGTGAGGGAAATGCCGACTTATTAGAGCGTGAAAAGGCAACAGCAGAGTGGTATGGGGTAATAACGTCCTTGTCCTTTGAAATGAGTCTGCCATAGCTCCTGCCTTGCCATAGCTATCTCTGAGAACCTAAAGCTGAGAACTTTGTTATGTTTGCCACGTTCATAACACTTCAGTATGCACTCAGACATATGCAGCATGTTCGCTGGGTAAAGTTTTCAGCGTAATGCTGTTGTAGGATTATGTTGATTTTGTGTTATAGATTTGTGTACAAGGCAGCACTGTAAAAAGTGAACTTATAATTGGAACAAGTTGCTTTTCTGACATTCTAAAATACCCTGATAGAAATAAGGATGTCACAAAAGATGAATTATACTTTTTTACAAACAGTTCTGTCCCAGTTAGTTTGTATTCTTAGCTTCAAAGCTAAGAAACTCGTAACCTGATCTACTTTTCTGAGCAATTTTGAATGTCATATAGAACAACAGTGATTTTCTTTGATCTCAGTTCATAAAAGAGAGTACTGTACTGCATTCTAGTGTGAAAAAAAAAAGAAGAAATATTTCAGTGACTGGCAGCGACTATTCTTTAGTAAGTGTCTTACACGCTCTCGTTCCCCCAGCACTAACCCCACAGGGTGCTAATGAAATATCTATGTTCATCCAAATGTCTTTTCCAAGCCCCCTGGCCCATTCCGACACGACATGTGTCAACATGTGACTTCACACTTCAGCTACAATGGCTGCCCCAGAAATTACAGCGGCTCAAATTGAATTGCTTTTTTTTGCTTAGAAGTTGTCTGGAGAAGGCGAGTGTTGAATTATTAATATGATCCAACAGAATTGATGGATTTTTTCTTGTTCTTTAATTTTTCTGACCTACAAACAATAATTAAAATATTCCTAAATAAGAAATTTGCACCCATAAAGATTTTTTCACATGAACATGATTAGGAACGACAAAATATACCACAAGCTTGTAATTTGTGCAGTATAATTCATTATTATATAGGTACAAAAACAATAACAATTTGTCAATTCTAAAAGGATTTGCCAGCAAAAAAATACTCCACCAGGAGAGCCTTTCAGATTTAATTTACAACACAGACACTGCCTCAGACTGTAAGCTTAAATCTCCTGATATGACATTGAAAACTACTGTATTCTCCTTCTTTTCACCCTTTTTGGTCTTAATATAGTATCTCTTTAATCAGCTCATTAATTTTTTCATTCTTTTTCCATGTGAGGAGAAAGCATCCAGGACAAAAAAAACACAGATGCTCAATGCTGGCAGACTAAATGAGAATCTATCCTTCATTACTGTTGTCCCTCAAAAGGACCTGATGGCCATTGACCTCGAGCCGTATCGCTTCTGTGGTGTCAACATGACCGGCTTCCGCATCCTCAACGTGGATAATCCCCAGGTCGCATCCATTGTGGAGAAATGGTCGATGGAAAGGCAGATACCACCTAAACCTGACTCAGGCCTACTGGAGGGCATCATGACGGTATGTTTTATTACTTCTGTGTTGTTCCATTTAAAGTCAGTCATCAAACTGTCAATATAAAGGGACCACATTTATCTATCTGTCTGTCTTATCTATCTATCATAGCTTTTGCCAATGGTAAGAAATTGATTTAATTATAATAGTAACCTACAACAAACTCAGCTATATCACTATATACAATAAATACTTTATCAGATGCATATACAAACAACTCTTTCAGACTGTGGCTCATGTATAAAACATAAATACTGTATGAAGTATGTAAACAGATTTGAGAGGTTCAGCTACAGCTCTGCTAAATGTTGAATGGGAAAGATGCATATTTTAAGTGATTTTAAAAGTTCATTGGTACCATACTGAGTGGTTCCAGTTTCTTATAAACAACTACTGTCTTTGTGCACTTCGGTGTCTCCCTTTAACTCATGGTTCTTGTGGGTAAATTGTCTGTTGATTAGAGAGGTTAGAACACAAAAAAACAGTCACGCTTACACATAAGTATGCAATGTATGTAAACAACTACTCAGTAAACCATTCAGGTATAAAAGGGGTCTCAGAAAGGGCAACCCATCTAGCCTTGAACCCATGGTTGTACATTCTTTATGTCCATTTTCCAAGCAAAAAGCTGAAGCTAAGATCCCTAAAACTGAATGATTGAAGAGAAGAAAAATACCTCCTCATCAGAAAGATTCCTGGTTCTGTTCTGGCATGTTGATGGCAAGGTCAGATATTGGCAAGAACAGCACAAATCCATGGGGTTATCTTTTATGCTTTCAACCGTACAGATGGGGGTGATATAATGGCTTGGAGAACATTCATTAATCCCTTTCGCACCAATTATCCTCTGAATGCGTCAGTCTCCCCAAACATTGTTTCTGACCAGGTGCACCGCTTTACAGCCAATCTTTTTCAAATGGATAGTTTATAATGGATAATGCACCATTGTTTCAATATGTTTCTGGGACAATGATAGGGGCTTTGGCTTACTTCAATTGCCCACAAAGTCTAAATATCAAACTCAGTACAGCCCGGGATAATATAGAGCAAGATGTGCTACCAAAAAAATCTGCAGAAATGTTATTATGCCATCAAGACAGAAATATCTTTATGGAAGGTTTCCAGTCCTTGTTGAATCCAAACCTTCAAGGTTGTTCAGTTTGTTCTGGATGAGAAGTCAGACTTAAGTTACACATTGTGTAGTTACAGTAGTGTTATCAGTAAATAGATGTATAGTTTGAAAGAAATGCTGATTGTAGTGCCAGAAAGAAACATAGCAAATTAAAGGGAAACAAATTTACTTGAATCTTTTTGTATGCCACATATCCGCTAATGTGCTAATTCCAATAATGAACAGTTTCCATTGATTTGATATTTCAGATTTAGAACCCCTTTTATCATTGAATGTAAATTAATAATATAGCAGATGTGCCAAAAGGATGTTTAGTTAAATATTTCCTTTTGTTATTATTTTCAAGAATGGTAACCTGCTATTACTTTTAAATTGATTAACAGGTCTTTCCAGCTGCTGAAGGCATATGTCAGTTATGTAAAGAAGACAAAAACAACACTATACTATATTAACTAATCAGTTGAGAAATACAGAAGGTGGTGATGTGTCATATAATTTCAATTTGTCAATTATGTACGTGAGTTTATCTCAAATCAAAATCTATATAGTTGTATATAGCTGGCATTTGAAGAGAGCCTGAAAGCTTATCCTTCATGAAATAAAATGCAGATGAATTCATGAATAGATATGAGTTACACGTCATTAACCTGAAAATGTAATGTCTACAATAAAAGTGCATAAAAAATATTATGATCTGAGCAAAAAAGACTTTTGTCCTTTGAATCTTTCTATAGTAGTCTGAAGATTAGATTGCTGGTGACAATGTATGTCTTTCCACAGGCATCAGCTGAAATAATATTCACCCCTTATTCCAGACAGATGCAGCTCTGACGTATGATGCAGTCCACATTGTATCCGTGTCATACCAGCATGCTCCACAGATGACAGTCAACTCGCTGCAGTGCCACCGCCACAAACCCTGGAGATTTGGAGGGCGCTTCATGAGTTTCATCAAAGAGGTGATGGGACACCTTTGGCCTGTTGCTATTTGATTTAAGTATTGTTGATAATAGAGCATATTGACTGAGTGGTGACAATGAAAAAAGGAGTGGAGTGAGGACTGTGTAGTCATTTGGGACTTAGATATTTAACCAGCAAATCAATCATATTCACATACAAAGCAAACCAAGCCTTAATAGTCACATCAAAGCAGTGTTGTTGTCATATTTATAAATTCCCCGTATTCATAACCTATTTTCCAGAAAGTGCATACTGTAACCTTTTGAACACCCAACTAGTGTAATCGGCTCTTATTTAATCTAACATGAGAGTCTGACAGTGCCTCAGAATATACAAACAAGCCTGTGGAAAATGGCAGATTAAGGGTGTGCAGAGATGCGACTATTTGTATCTTGTCTATTTGTTCAAACAACAGAATTATTTGTGTTCGTATTCGTCCTGTGTCTGGTTTAGACATGTTTAAAATTGCAGGAATTCAGCTTATTTTTCCACTCTTATAATCACTGCCATTATTGCCAAATTAAAGCATTACCCTCCTGGATCTATTGTATTTTACACAGACTTCGTCCTCTAACCAGGTTCCTTCATCTGTGGTAACTGCCCAATAAATTTGCATATACCCACAGAGCAATCAGAATGATGGCTATGGGGGGCTGTCCATATAAAAGGGCAGAGCTAAACCTCTTTCCTCATCCACTTTTCATTAGCAAAATGGATGACAACTTCTGTTCAGTACGGTTGGCTTCGTCCAAAGATTTTCTCCATGCTAAGGCTAAGTCTCCATGGTTAACCGCTTTATGCGCCTCAGTGCTAAGCATCCTGATGGCATTTGGGACTAGTTTCAAGCATGCTTTTTGGCCAGTTTGGGCCTATTTTCCAGTGATTATCTCTCTTGAGCTTTGCGGTGATGATTGTGAGTGTGGATGTAGATCTCTTGAGTCCTAGTTGCCTTTTACAGCACCCTTCTCTATCAAGATGTTAAAGAGACTAAAGAGTAAAATTGCTACAAACCTGAGGCCAAAGTCAGAGTAGGCTGCCACTGTGGCTAGAGCTGGCCACCTTCAAATGTCAAGAAGACATAATCCCTTTGTCATACTGTGCCATTTCCTGGCCCATACTGTTCAGACTTGGTACCAGGATGTGTAAGTATGGGGTAACTGATGAACTGGCTTGCAGCCATGTTCAGTGGTAAGCAGGGGCAGAATCTAGGCTCAAAAGGAGAAAAAGAATAACCTTTTGTTTCCCCTAAAGCATCTGCTTTGAAAGAAACTATGGGTGAGTTGGAGGTTTGAAATGGCCACCGCTTGTGGCTCCTCCAAAGGTTTTCTTTACCAGCAGGCAGTGTCCTTGAGTGAGCAATCCTCCATTATGGCACCAGGCTCTCTGGTATATTCAAAGACAGTGTTTGGAATAGGCATTGCCCAAATTCTCAGTTCACTTTTGTAATGATGTATAGGGATCAACCTATTTTCTTTTTCTTGAGTTGCAAAGAAGGGTGGGGGTAGGATAGATGTTTTAAACTCTCCTGGCTCCCCTCCTCCTTCTGCTTAGGAGCAAGGATGACAGTCCATTTTTACTCAGGACTTTCTTGGGGTCTGTGTATTGCACTAAAAAGAGATCCATGGGGATGAAAGACTGGTGGTTGTGTCTTCTGTGAGGTATTGGCAAGTTTGCCAACTGCCATCGACAGTTTTATTAGTTGTGTGACTTGTGTCTTTTCACCTTTTGCTATGGCAGTTTCACTCGAAATTGACCGGGGTTTTGTCAGCATAAAAGAAGGGGTACGGTTATCATGCATTGCCCTTTAAGTATATAGAGGACTGTAAGATAGAAAAAAGTCAGTGCATTGATTATACTAACCCTGTCCCTATGAATACAGATGCTGCATCCCAGCTGTTTCTTTAGTTTGTGAAGACTTACATGATAAATAGGGTTAGTGGTAAACTGAAAGAGGTGGTTGGGGCAGTGCCATTAGGGAGGATCTAAAAGTATATGTAATCCAAGTTTGTGTTTTGGAAAAATGAGGGGTCAAGTCTACAGTGTAGAGCCTTGCTAGTCTGCCTCTATTTATAGAACTGAAGCTACAATGTGTATCAACAAGGAAAATGTTATTAATGCATCATTATTGTGAGTGCCATGTTGGAAACAAAAGGTCTCACCTTGGCTAAGAAAATGTAATTTATCTACCTCTACTAATGATGTGACTGTTTTCAACCATTCCTACAATACCAATAATGTATTGTGTGAAATGTGCTCTGAAATCTGACACCATATATTATGTTTCTCAAATACACATCCCCAACTGGCACATGATCCATGAATACTATTGTTTGCATCTGAGTTGTAGTAACAATTTCTGCTTGTCTGCCAAATGTGCAAACACAATATTGCAAGTGTCTATGCACAACAAACATATCTAGTGTGTGTGGTACACTGGCTTCATTGCTAACAATGCACTGGAGCATTGTTAGCTATCCTAACAAGCTGTACCATTTAGCAGCTATGTTAGTGACTTGTAGCGATCATGAGTAAAGCCAATGACATATTATTACATTGTCCTTATACAAACATACTGTAGTGTTCGGTTATTAAAACACTTACTCAGGCCTGATTTACACTCTTCAAGACAGGCGTATGACATGTTCTGAAGGTCGAATTGGCCCTTTGGATGTGATGTGGCTGAGGCATTTATGTCACTCTCTGAATTAAAGCTGTTTGAACATGCCACCCACCTCGGTGGCGAGAGGCCAGCTAGAATGAGGTACGGGGGGGTTTGGAAAAGGAGAGTGCCACATATTTCTCCTTGAGGCTTCGATCTTCTCACAACAAGTTCTGGCAAGCTACGGGGAAGACAGGTTAGAGCTATAGCCTGAACTGTAGGGTTGTCACATTTTTAAATATTAGAAAAGTGCTGCAACTTGACACACAAGGATTGATTACTCTATTGTATCAAGACTTATTAAAGATCTAGTGCCTGCATCAGACTGACAGAATGAAAGTGACACCAATAGTCAATTAAGACTCTGTTTTTGCAGAAAGAGCACAAAAGAGTAAATAAAAAAAGATTGAATAAATCTGGCATGGCATTTTAGAAAAGGATTCCCAAGTTAGCTTCATGAGTGCTGAAAGATGGCTACCCCATTAGCAGACGTGTGAGAAGAACAGGATTGTAGCAGAGGCTGTCATTTGTTTGCCTATAAACACGTCTGTGGAGGTGGCGGGTATCAGGGAATCGTAATAGGGGGCAGTTATGTGTTTTCCCTTCTCATGGGGAATCAAGCAAAAGGAGATGGTTGTTAATTAACTCTGCAGTCTGGAGGGAAAATGCGTTGGAGGCGTTGAGATGTAAAATGTAATTAAAAAAAGGAAATGCAGCCTGTATGGTTTGTGTTTGTACTTTTGGTCGGTGTGTTTGTGTGTGTGTGTGTGTGTGTGTGTGTGTGTTTGTGTGTGTGTGTGTGTGGGTATGAATTTACTCTTAGTGAAAGATAGATGGTGTTGTAGTGTGTGTGTGTTAGGCTTTACATTTGTAGATTGTTCATTTCTCTATGCTTATTAGTTTTTTATTGTTGTCATATTGTAATGGCTACCAAATATTTTGTTACGTGGCTATACATGCACACAATACGCAGGAAAAGCAATGTAAACCACAGTCTCAAGACAATCTGATTGATAGATAGATTGATTTTATCAATCCCCGAATGGAAATTGGGTCGTTATAGCAGCCAGGTACATTAAAATGCAATAAAATACAATAGAATAAAATACAACAATAGAATAAAATACTTGGACAGAAAATTAAAAAAAGATAAAAGATAATAAGGTAGGTAAGGTGCAAAGTTTTTAGTTTTTAGTTGCGAGATGGCGGTAATAGTACTGATGACATGATGGTAGTGTTATTGTTAATAACAGTATATAATAATAACAGTATATAATGATAATATTAATAATATTTATAATATAATAATAATATGTATATATAATATGATGACTGAACAGATATACATGTATACACATAGATATTAAACATTAGTATTAATATAATGTAAACGTGTCATATATTCAGCCTGTGCAAAGTGTGCATACATACATGTACACTGTATTTTATATATATACAATATATATATGTACACATATATAGATACACAAGATATGATATATAGCATATGTATAATAGATACTTGACTATACAAGAAGGTATACATACAATAGATAATATCTTATATGTTGTTATATAATAATAATAATAATAATAATAGTAATAATTGTAATAATTGTAATATATAACATATAATTATAACAATAATAGTGATAAAAATATAATATTAATATAATAATAATATATTGTATAAATATGATATATAATATCAACATGGTTTATATTAACACATATCACATACGATAGTATATGATGACGTATAACTGTTGGTCCACAGTTGGCCTAGTTACCTCCCCAAAAGACAGTATTTATTGCAAGATTATTGTTGTGAGGGGTATAGACTGTAATATGCAGTATTCTGCATTACAACAATAAGCGTGGTAGTGAAAAACTTACAAAATGAATGTGTTTGAATATGTATAAATATGTAGATATATTATTTTTCAGTCCCACTGGGATGGTTTGACGGGGAGACTGTCATTCAACAAGACAAGTGGTCTACGTACAGACTTTGACCTGGACATCATCAGTCTAAAGGAGGACGGACTTGAAAAGGTAACTTTTCTCTTTGTTTTCAGTGCATTCTTTGCTGTGATGGAACAAAACAGCAGAGAACTTCTGTGATGACTATACCATAAAAAGAATTTAATGGAATATTGATTCCAGAAATACGTTTCAGATTTTCCTCTTAATGTGGAACAGATAATGCAAATTTGACAGTATCATTTACCTCCTAACAAGGAAGCAAATTGGCTGTTTCAACATAAGCATAAGTTAGTGGATCATAAAGCAAATTGGATTAGGGTACACATTAGGGTGTTAATTGCAGCCTCTCTTAATGATAATTTGAGGTGATGCCCAAAATGCTGTTTGGTGGTAATGAGCTGTATAAACATGTTTTACAAAAAAGGGAAAAAACGAACTAAAAGGTTGGTAATGTAGAACTTATTTTATTATACTGGAAGGCAAAGTACCCTCTGGACTATAACAGCTTTTCTCTACTAGAGGGCTTTCATACATTATGAATACATCAAATAGGGATAAGTCCCATTATGACTTCCTCAAGTACTCCCTAAAGGCTCAATACTATATAATAGCCGGGGCTTTTCAGCTTGTAACCCTTCTGTTCCAGAATGGAGCATGTAACACTACTGCTTTAAAATTATTCGTCTTCTCCCTTTCACTGGCATCTGGTCCTGCGTGCGGTCAATTAAGTTGAAGCACAGTCATCTTGCAAAAGTATTTGATGCCATATTAGCATCTTCTCTTTGTGTCCCCGACAAATCCTACGCTCGAGCATGTTAACGCTGATCCGGATTGCTGGATTTTTTTTTCTTTTCTGGTATATCCGTGGAATCGGCTTTAACAGTTTGAGCCGGTTAAGATGTGGACTTTTCTCAACTAATCCATTGTAATTGAATATTAGCCCAAGTTTGAGCTTGTGCTGGAATTATGAACAGGTTCTCAGAGTGCCACTTTCACTCAACGTCAGCATTCTCAGAAGGGTGAAATACATGTAATGCTGCCCGTGTGGTTGTATGAGTAAATAACTTTTGAATCAAGCCTTTTGCTAATCATGTTTAATGAATTGAGCTAATTGTAATTGGGTACAATTAGAAAGAATTTTGCAAAGCGGAAAGCGTTCACAGATATTTTTAAATATCTCTCCTGGAGTCCTCTTTGGTTGTGTGACAAGCTGTAACTAATGTGCTTTTCAAATTAGAGCATATGCCTCTCTTTGGATTAGGCAGGGAGGACATTAACCAAAGTTTTTCATGCTTTTTTGTGGGGAGGTTGTATGTCTTCAAATGCATCCACCTCAAGCACAAACCCCAGTGAATATTAAAAGCTGTGTCTGTTGTAATAGAGAAAGCAGAAGGGATGGGAGGAGGGTTTGGTGGAGGGCCCGACTTACAAACAGAGATTGTTACCGACAGCCACAGGACTATTTGTGCTAATGATATGTTCCAGAGTGTGTCTCTACAATATGCAGAGCTTTTTGCCTGAGGGCTTCTTGCATGTATAACTCCTTTATTTGTTCAAATCTCTTGGCTTATCTCAGTGAGAATGCAGAGCAAAATTACTTTCGCAGTGTAATCTAACTGCCAACCCCATGCTGTACCATCATTCGAATTAACTGTAACCTGTTTGCAATATTTTCTGTTTTTAATAATGTTCTGTTTGGTTTAGCCCCATTGTTTAGCCTTTTTTTATGTGTATTTACATACATGTCAGAAACTCACAGCATCAATATACCAATATAATATAATTAATCATTATTATTGATATAGTATAGACATTCTCTTGAATCTGTTTTCATTGTTTTTGGGTAGTTTAGTTTGGAGATGAGGGCAGGTGATGTAATAGGTTTACTTTTTTTCAAACTGGTTTTCTATATTGTTGAGTATCAAGTCCATTGTTTAAACATACAGTTGATCAAGTGATTCCAGTTCCTTTGATTTGCCCATCATGCTTGATTTCTTTCAAGACACCAAAATACCCCCTGCTTTCCAAAACACCCTGGCCTGCTGATATAAAGGTGACTCAGCCAATCATCTAATGCTGCCAGAGATGTGTTCGACCTGGCACTAATGTGGGAGACTGGTTGGCGGGGGAGTCTGCTGGGGTCACAGCCCACCAACAGACACAGAACACTTAGCTACACGCTTTTCATCTTCCGCAGGTGGGGAAGTGGAGTGCGTCAGGAGGTCTTAACATCACAGAAGTGCCGAAGCGAAAAGGGATGAACATCACCGATTCCCTGGCTAACCGCTCCCTCGTCATCAGCACCATCCTGGTAGGTCACCTGTGTAGCCTGGCGTAAAAGATGTCCTACCCTTCATGTCTCCTCAGTTTTCCTTCCAGATAATATACTGAAATTTCACAAGAATGTCTTGTATTTGGCTCTTTCCAGCAGAGATATTCATTGCAATCTTGCAACCCTAAGGTTCTTTGCAACCTTAACTCAGAATAGCAGGAGTGGTGTGCATGGGACTATAGTAAGAGCGATACACACACAAATGTAAGTGTTAATTACACTTGCACTAATGCACGATGCAAAATTCCTGTCTGGCCTAGCTACTATGTGAGAGTTTGGGCTAATATTAGTGGCTCTTGCATTTGGGAAAGTTTATACTCCCGCAATGCTGGATTTATTACCAGAAATAGCTTACTATTTGTCCAACTTATTGCTCAGTCCTCATCCTCAAAGCCTTTTTTCTTATAACATTAAAAGTGAAACTTCCCATTCCAGACAGTTTTAAATTATGTAAAAACCACTGATTAATATTTTGTTTAACATGGTTTACAAACATTACTTTTGTTGGCACCCCCTACTAATTTGAAATCTTACAATCCAATTCACATCCTTGGATTAATTTTTGTAATCGTGGAAGAAACTAGCTTGGAAGATGGAAACACCTATAATCAGCATCTGGAAATATTTCCATTACTTTGATTTTAACAAATAAAACTGGCTTTTAATCGTCTTAAGTCTGAATCTTGGGAAGAAGGGGAATTATTATTTTCCAGCTACTCCCCACAAAATTAATATGACGAGTAGTGTAACTAATTACTGTTGGCAGGGAGTAATAAGTGAAGTAATAATATTACTTTTGAAAAGAGTAATGAGTAATGATTGATAAATTAAATGTTTTGAGTTACGAGCCCAACAGTAGTGTTCACATTTTCACATTGTTATTACGTAGTAGACAGTGACAAGAAGCTCCAGGGTCCGGTTTACATCCAAAAACTGCACACTGTACCATGTTTGCTGTCAAACCTTTCACTATGTATGTGCAAACTCTCACCGTCAGGTCTGCTCTGCGTTTGCGTCTCTGAGTTTTTTTCCCCTGTGGCATTAGCTAGACAGCGATTGGCTTTCAAATTTGTTATATACCAAATCTAGCTTGCCCGGGGTACGCTAGAATCTCAGATTTTAGGAAAATGTACAGACATCTCCCCCTCCAGTAGAGGAATGTGAAAACACCTCTCTTGTGATGCACAGACACAAGTCAGTAAAGTCAATGCCTGACATTTAAGGGGACATAAATGAGGAGATAAGAAAAACAAATTTTTGAGTGGCCGGGGTCTTTAATATTTGAGAACATGAAAAGCAGAAATCTAAACTGTTTTGTTTGTCCATGCATGTACACAAACCAGCTAATGTGAGCGCCTGGTTAGCTCAGTCGGTGGAGCTGGCGACCCATGTACGCAGTGGCCCGGGTTCAAATCCGACCTGCGGCCCTTTGCTGCATGTCATCCCCCCTTTCCTGTCTATCTCTAGCTGTCTCTCTATCAAATAAAGGCATAAACGGCAAAAAAATTAATACTTAAAAAAAACAGCTAATGTAAGAAGGAATTATTATTATTATTAGAAGACTAACTAGGTCTACAATACAAAAGCAATGCTGTTTTTGTCTAGTACATTCAGCTTTAGCCTTAGTCTCTTAGCACAATATTATTCTCTGCACATATTTAAGACCCCTTTCACGGGGTTCAGGGTTTGAAAACAAGTCAGGTCGAAACATTAAGGAGTCACAGACACCGACAGCGTTTTCAACTGCCCCATGGAACAGCTAATTAAAGCCAGAGATGGTTGTTGTTTCAGCTAAACACCAGCTATAATTGAGAAGGTAGCTTTTGTATACTGCTGTCTCATATCAGGGACCCTTTGTTAAAAAAATTACTAAGAATTTCAAACGTTAAATATGCCGCCATCATTATAAACTGCACAAGTGTGCTATGTGAGAACAGGAAGCTTAGCAACAGTAATTAAGTTGGTAGTTGGTAGTTAGTGAACAGTTAATTATCAGTGATTCAGATGAGATTTTAAAGTCACATTATGATCATGTTAAGTTAGAAGGCCTGGGGCATAAAAATAAAGGAGACAGTGAACTACAATAAACTATTCCTGCATTAATTACATGTGCAGATACAAAGAACTAGGTGATCCCTCCCCCAGCTCCACAGCGTATTCATTTGTAAATCCCCAGTTGTATGTACTTAACACTGTCACTGGATGTTTGGATGTCTTTGTGGAGCTATCAGGGAGGTGCTGACACAAATGTTCCCCTATGTACCTTTTCAGGACAGATATACAAGCTACAACGATAAACACTATCATTATGCCTATATTGGACCACAAGGCTGTAATTATGACGAAGTGAGGTCAAGACGAGACATAATTAATGCCTATCAGGTGCCATCTATGTTAATTCCGTCTCAAAGAGGAGAAATGGAACAAGGATTTAAGTGGTGTAATGTTGAACTACTGCACTAGGAAGTGCTTGTATTTACTGATTTTATGTTGTAGCTAGTGGTGTTAATGTAAATGTGTTTCTCACCAAGTAGTTCAAGTGTTTCAATTGCATTTGACGTTTCTTAACATTTTTGGATCATTCTTGCCTTAAAGTACGTTTGGATATTTCTGACATGTTCCCTGATTTGCTATTTCTTGGGGAATCATTAGTTTAAGATGATAAAACTGCCTACTTTCAAATTGCTGAAGAGAGTTTCAACTTTAATATCAATCTTTCCTCTTAGTGTAATGACATTGCATCAAACTGATTCCAGTGATGCATGAACAAGACGTCTGACAGCTTTATAGTGATAACTTTGTCAAAGAGATTAAGGCACTTAATGTGTTTTCCCACTTACATTAATTGTTTGCACTCCATTGCCTGTGATGTCTCTGCGCAAGCCCACCTCCCTCCTCTTTCTGTTATGCACGCCCATGCTGGGACTGTGAGGGTAGAACTGGTATAAACACTTTGATTTGAGTCCAAACCTTGGGGAATAGCAAGAATTGGAAGGCTAGAAACAGATGGTAATGACTTTTTCCCTTAACATGCAAACTTTTTGATCAAGTTAATTGGACAACTTGAGCAAAGTTTGTGGCTAAGCACTCACTCCCTAAATGCATTGTCATCAAGTATTCATAACTTATTATTTATTTAAGAGGCCATCCTAATTGTAATGTCCAAGTGGCTTTTTTGATAGCAAACAATTAAAGATGTTCATCATTTACTTATTTTGTGAGAATTAATGGAATAAATTATGCCCTGCTTGATATTTGTTTGGTTTACACTGTTCTTTACAGTCAGCAAACCTCAACAGTGTAACTGTGTCCACATGCCACCAGCACATGATGTTATATTTTTATTGCCCCCACCTCTGCCCTTGTCACCTCCACTTTCCCCCATGAAAAACAATATCCTGGGGGAATAAACAGTCTTGTGGCTGCCTATTTTCAACCCTTTGACTGTGTCACACAAGCTACAGTTAAAAAAAAAAAAAAAACACAAAGCAAGGAGTCACCTTCACTAGAGAATCAATTACTGTGCTTTTGAGCTCAGTTTGTAAATTATACATCTGGCTATTGGAGGCGATAAATTGTATTACAGCCTTTGCATAAATGGACCAACATGTTTTGAAATGCACAGCAGGATATGCAAGTCTATCTGGCAGGGAAATGGTAAGAGCCACTAAATAAAGGAAATCATTTATGAGCTATTCTGTGTTAGTCATTGTCACTGCAGGCATCAGCTCAGTTGCTCTCCCTTGGTGGTTGGTGTCAATTGATGAAGGCAACGTCGTGGGCATGTTCCATTTCACTGCGGCATTCTGTTCCTAATCAAGCTTTTATACAGCCAAAATTATGAGCAGCCAGGCAGGATATTACAGGCCAGTAAAGAGTGTCAGCCACATGACCATAAAATGAACCGACCTGTGCACCAGCTATATAGGTCAACGCACAGCAGTGTGGGGGAGACAGTAGGTTTAGTTAGTTCAACACTGCAGGCACATTGATAGTATAAACATTCCTTCTGTGTGCATTACCATCACTATGGCAAACACCGGTCACAGCTTTGCAATTTACAAGACATTTACTTGCATTACAGTCTTAGCTCAGGCCTCCTTTCGTTAATACATCAATGTAGGAAAACCCTCAGACTTCTTTCATATTTTAACACTCCCTGAAACTGCACACTGAACTTGAATCTGCTGTCACTGCCTGTTAAATGCAACAGCGACTCATCAGCTCGGATCACTTTGCTTCAATTAGATGCACGTGCTGAAACAAATTGAAAAACCTGACCTCACCATTGCTTTTCATTTGATCTTTTGGTTCTGTGCAGGAGGAGCCATATGTCATGCTTAAGAAGTCTGACAAGGCGCTGGTTGGAAACGACCGTTTCGAAGGATTCTGCATCGACTTGCTGAAAGAGCTGGCCAACATCCTGGGCTTCACATATGAGATCCGTCTGGTGCCTGATGGGAAATACGGCTCCCAGGACGAGAAGGGCCAGTGGAACGGCATGATCAGGGAACTTATAGAACATGTAAGTTGTACTTCAAATTGTCTGCTCCACAGTTTTCCTTAAAGCAATAGGTCAGCATTTTGGGAAATACACTTATTAGCTTTCTTGTCAAGCATTAGATGAGAAGATTGATGCCACTGTCATGTCTGTACAGTAAATATGTAGCTGGAGCCAGCAGCCAGTTAGCTTAGCTTAGCAGTTGCCAGGCAACAGGCAGAGACTCCAAGAGGTTACTCCTCCCAGCTAAGGAATAGACCTGGCTATAACCCCCTTAAAACTGCAATTTATTTTTTACAAATGAGGTATCACATGTTGATTAGTGAGCTTTAGAGGTGCTGGTAGGTGGATTGTGTTTCCTTTGGACAGACCCAGGCAAGCCATTTTCCCCTGTTACTACTCTTTATGCTAAGCTACGCTAATCAACTGCTGACTCCAGCCACATATTTGTTGTACAGACGTATACAATATATCAATCTTCAATTCAAATTCACAGCAAGAAATTGGATTAGTGTATTTCCTAAAATTCCAAACTATTCCTTTATCATCTGCTGCATTATTACAATTATGCAGCTACATACACTGTAAAAGTGTTTTATATCACGCAAACTTAAAAAAGCATGCCATTGAACTGAATTGCAGGTTATGTCCTCTGCACAGGCAGTGATATAGTTATGATTGAGTACAAGTCAGGAAGAGCCTGCAAAGCTGTCAGTTACATTTATGGCACAATTATGTCAAGGTTGCCTAAAAGTTACAAGTGTGTTGATGCCATTCAGTGAGACAAACCACTTCCTTCAACTGAATAAGCCAGAGATCTAGGATGAACATATGATACTGTATTGTAAGGATACAGGAGAACACACTGGCAATCAACTTGCTAAGGCATGGTGGGCAGTCGCAGCTGTCTGTGTCAAACTCAAAGCTTCAGCAGCCATGAAACAACCTCACATCGATGTGATGGTGGCAATTCTCTGCTGGCATTTCATAAGTGTCCCTGTCAGTGCTCTCTCTTTGTCCTCAGCCCCATCGGGTCAGCGCTGTACTCAGCTGAAAACTTGTAATAGCTTAAGTGGCATTTAGTGCAGGGAATCGTATGGCAGGAGTCAATGGCTTGGTGCTGAAAGGGTTGGGAAAGGTGGGCTCCCTCTGCAGCACTTTATTTCTCCATCCAAGCTTTTTGCTAGATCCATGTTAATACCAATAACCTTGAGGGGAACAAATGGATTACTAAAGGCAGAGAATGCTGGCACGAAATGGAGATGCATGACTCCATCATTAGACAGCACATGGTCTTTGTATTAGTCTGTTCTTCAGATTAAAGGGAGAATGTGCAGCTAGCCACAGAGAGTCCGTTCATTATTTTAGTCAGAGAGCTGTCAATTCAGTAATTTTTTCAGCCAAATGGAAAAAAACAATGTGTTGTTGTTGTTGTTGTTGTCTGTGAAATAAGGTTTACAAGTGTGTTGGGAAGATGTAGAATCTGATGATTGAGACCTCTAGCCTGAGCTTACTTAATGTAAGCCGTTGAACACACACACATCCATACCAATGAGTTACTCCATTTGCTTGTGTTTTAAATTGAAGATACATTATAAATTTGATAAATACAGTTAAAAATGCATTAAAGGGTGCAATTTTAGAATCTACATATATATTTTGGCTTTAAGGTTTATTGCCTTTGTAAATAGCAGCAGAAGTGAAGATTATAATCTATACTGCTAGTTATTGCTTTTACTGCTCCTTATCGCATGACCAAGGACGCATGACGTCTTCTTTGTGGATTTTAGTTGGTTCTATTTTGTGGTCTAGTGCTTTCCATACCCCTGTTGGTTAGGATAAGCTGATCGTGATTCAGCAGACCTGAAACATAAACTTTAAGGCAAGCACAAGAGATCTGACCCTGGAATGATATAAGAGGCCATTGCATCTCCAGTAAACCTTAAACTACTGCTTATTCACTGAGGTAATAAGTTGGGGCTATATTTCTACCCAGCAAGAACTGTTACATATACTGTCCATTCTATAAAAAAAATACTATTTTGGGAACATATTGTATGCATGAATTGCATTCCTTGTGTGTACCATATACAAAGAGGTAGAGAAGGGAAAAGTATATGGCTGCTGTCATAGTTGTTATCTGTTCAATTTGTATTCATAACTACTTTCTATTAACCTCTTAAAAACCCATTGCCACCTCATTGTAATACAGACAGATAAGATGGGTAACAGTTTACTGGAGATCGGTGCCTTTACTTAAAAAATGGTCACTGAGTTAGATAAAGTCTGAGGAAGAAACAGTTGGTTTTAGCTGATAAAATGGTGCTGAAACACAAGGCTCATGCATTCATGCTGTCAGCTCACATAGTGTACCCTCATAAATCATAGTTGCATTACAGAATTACACAAAAATATTTGATGGACATCTTTTTAACAGAACAAGACTATAGTTTTTTAAAATCCGTTTTAAGCCTTCATTCATCTCTGTAGGTCATTGAGTTTTGTCACAGAAAAGGTATTGTAACAAAAATAGAGTGAAGCTCTGTAAGAGTGTCTATGTGTGTGTTTGCCTTTTCATATATTGTTGGATGAATATGATACTATTATGTGATTTACTCCCCATGTAACTAATGCTCCTGAATGAGAAACTGCAATGTTGCCCAGTGCAACGATTTAGTATTGTGGAACATACAGCCCTTTATTTTCCTCTGTGTAGTCACAAAGCTCACTGCAGTGCCAAAGGGCATTGTTTGGAAGGTGCTAAATGATGCAACAGGCCTTGTTAAACTTGATTTAGTCACAATAGATGATCACTTTAATCACGCTGTGATGCAAATGTTAATAGCGTGCTTAGCACATCATTTGTTTCTGTCATGGCAATTAATATTTGCTTCGACAGATAGCAAATCTAAAAGGATGGAAGGTTGTAGCCAGCCCACACCCTCATTGTTTATGCAGATATATACTCTAGTCAACTAGATTTAGGTCTATTTTGTATTTTGATGCTCATCTAAGGGTTTTTCTTGGTAATTGAAGAAAGCATGTGACTGCAAGAGGATGGACATGTGCGATTTTGATTTTTATCTTAGACAGCAGGATGACCTGGTGGTCAGAGTGGCTGACCCATAGCTGCAAGGGCAAAAGTTCAACTGCCTCAACAGCAAACATGTCTGTCGCGCCTGCCAAAGCACCCTCGAGTAAATCACAGTTCCAGGCTCACCACAATCTGAACACGCTGCTTATGCAAAGCAACTATTTCTTTATTGCACTGCATATGCTTCATGATTAGCCCTTATTTATATTTTGATATGAGACTGCATTATATAAGTTGGTTCAGGCTTATCTATATGATTACACGGAAGTGTCACAATTTGCATTCATTCCTTACTATTGATTCTGTAAATGCATGTACAACTGGCCAATCAGACATTTTCATATTCTTTTAGGATCCCTACAGCAGCATTGTCTGTTATCTGCAGTAACCATTGCATAGTTGAGCAAAGTGTATTTCTGCTACATTTTACATTTTGAACTGAAGCAAAATTTGCTCTGGTATCTGCTCTGTGCTTCACAAAAAGAACAAAAGGAGCAACACAACAGGACAATTATTAAGCGATATACAATCTTTGCTTGCATTTTACAGCTTGCAATCACAATGCTAATGTACACTATATAGGAGAGGGATAAAAAAGCTTGGTTGTAAGCAGTATGAAATTAATCTATGTTTGATGCTGAAGAAAATGCACTAACTATGCTATCTTCAGTTATTTCTCATAAACAAAGAATAAGAAGCAGCTCATTGTAAAAAGTAAGTTCAGTGTACAGTCAGTAGATCGGAAATGCATGGATCATGTTAGTTATAAGTTCATGAATCCTCCAGGCTGTCATCAGGTGAGGAGGTCCGCAGGGAGAACACCACTAAGCCCACCATCTGCAAACCCAGATAACACTGAGCCATGTGGCACGCAGCAGGGCACTATCAGGTTATCTTGCTTGTGCCCAGTTTGTGTGCCTAAGCACTAAGCAGAACAAGGACATGCAGCATGTATATTAGCGCACCGTAGGGATGTCTGGAATCGCATGCTGGTTGATCTTCCGGCTGAGTGGCAGGTTGGTTCAAAGCTGCAGTTGGCAGCAGAGAACAGAGAGAGCAGTATGTGATGTACGAATTTGAATAGTTTAAGAGAGACAGCAGATGCACTGCAGGATGCACTGGTTTTCCCATCTCTCCATCTCCTCGGAGGCCACCGTATATTTAGCCACCGTGGTGCTGACCACAGGAGCACGTAATCTGCAGTGCTACACTCAAAGTGGAAATGTTTTCTCTCTGACCTTTGTTTACTGTTATGTGGTAGTTATCACATGATTCTGATGGAAGAACTTCCCAAGCCACAGGCAAAGTTAAATTCATGTTAAGAATAGCCATAGGATCTAGAAAATGAGTATTTTTTGTAAAAAGAAAAGATATCATACAATACATCAGTTCACGAGAGGAGGGCAGGACATGGCTGCTCAATTTCAGCTCAATTTCTTTTGATCTCATTAAGGGTGTTTGTGTTTCTGGAACCAGTAGATTCAATTCCTGTTGGTTCAGGTCTAATGGCTTTGCATAACGTCCCAAAACAAACACAAGATCTCATTTTACTCAGTGAAAATGCTGTAACGGTGAATTGTTGTATGAACAAGCCCTGTTCTTCTCTCACCACTCAGTATGTAGGAAGAAAGGAAAGCCTCCCTTTGTGAGTTGTGTCATTTCTTGGAGGAAAAAGGTATCCGAGCGTGAACCAAGCAGCTGGTTTCATTAACCTCCTGTCCAGCCATGGTGCAGGGGAGTTGTCGGGGCTGCCAATATAAATGGTAACCTTCTTAATATGCAGTCATACGCATATAATAGGTGACTGCAACTTATCTGTCATGCTCAGCCGTGTCCATTGCATAAAGCTATATGGTGTCATATGTCATTCTAGTGACACTAGTTAATGGCTTTATAGATGGAACTGCTTGATACATTGGAACGACGTATCTACTATTTCGGAAAGACGTCACTGAAAAGACAGAAACGTATTTCAAATTCACATTATCAAGTTCATATTCACATTAAGTTTTACAGAGAATGTCATAGCCATATTTTATTGTGTCTCCAAACTTTGAATAAAAGACAAATGTTATATAGCCCTGTTGTAACCTACTTATAGATAATTCACAGTTCCAATGATTTGGCATGACTTAGAGCCTACAGCCATGCTAGGTGCTGTGAGACTGTACTTAGGCAGAGCTGTGCTTTGAGCTAAACGCTAACATCAGCACGCTAATATGCTCAAAATGACAATGAGCATGTTTGGATGTTAACATTTGCTAATTAGCACTAAACACAAAGCAGAGCTGAGACTGTATAACCAACGTATTGGATACATTTTGATCTGATGGTGGCGTTTGATGAAAAAGTTAAGGAATCACCAGAGTTAATGAAATAAATGCTGAGGTGGACATATATCCAAGTACCAAATTGTACCAAAGCCACAAATGTCATCTTCATGTGGGTGCTGGAGGAAAAGTCAGGAGATCACCAAATCTATCATCCTCTGGGCACCATAAATGTCGTGCAAACCATATTTAATGACAATCCATGCAAAGGTTGCTGAGAAATTCCTGTCTATACCAAAGTGGTGGAACAACAGACCAACAGACCAACAGACTGACTTTGATGCCTCTAGAGTCACGCTGCTAGCTAAGCTCAGTGAGCTTAGCCCCCCTTCTGCCAATATGATAACAGGAATCAAAACAATTATCCATAATGTTTTTTGTTTTCCCATTACAGAGAGCAGACTTGGCAGTGGCTCCTCTCACCATCACCTACATGCGTGAAAAGGTCATCGACTTCTCCAAGCCCTTCATGAGCATGGGCATCAGCATTCTGTATCGCAAACCCAATGCCACCAACAATGGCTTCTTCTCCTTCCTGAACCCCATGACTCCTGACATCTGGGTCTACATTCTCTTGGCCTACCTTGGTGTTAGCTGTGTCCTTTTTGTCATTGCCAGGTAAGTCCACAAGTTACATACTATTTGTCCTATCAGTCTTCATACATTTTCCATGAAGTCTTTCAATAGACATAGCAATTTACTTGGTTATCACTGCAGGCTGAGTACACCAGCAAGTTTCTCATACTGTGTTTGCTGCTGGGTAGTGATCAAGGCAGTTATGTCGGCATGGGCTCTCTACAGCCCAGCAGAGGGGGGAGGAATAGAAAGAGACCTTCAGTTGAGTTGCAAAGTCCCATTCAGTTTGCAATTTCTTGTTTCCTGCATGATGTCTTTGGAATTGGCAATGCAGCTTTAAATGATGCACCTTAAAATTATCATTTAAAAAAGAAGTACTTGCTGAGGCAAAAAATCATAACTTCTCAAATTACCATATTTAGCAAAGCGAAGAAAATAAAATATACACACCTGATGTGAAATTTCATCAGAGAAGGATATATTTAGTAGATCATCAGCATTTACATTGAAAAATGAAATTGCTGGCTGTAATAAGTCATAAAATTATTATAGATGGAGATTATGTTTGATTGGCTGAAAAGTATCTCACTTGTAATTTTTTTTGGGTCATGAATATGATGAATATCCTGTTAGCATCATTGTCAGTATTTCCTGCTGCTTCTCATGCAAAGTGGTGCTTGAGGAAGTTCTAGAAAAGCGAGCTGAGAGGAGTTCTGGGGCTTGAGAGCAAACAGCTGCACTCCTCTATCCTCGTTCGTTGTTGTGAGACCAAACAAATTCTGGAGTGGCTTCACATAAGTAGAAAATCATCTTAAACTGTTGCATAGTTTTTTTGGAGGCCGGCCTAGATAGCTGAAAAAGCTGCATCTCTAAAAGTGCACCATATGAGCATAAAACAACAGCACTGAACAATAAGAGGGCTACTTCAGCAGAAGTAGGTAATTTTAAATGCTGGACAGAGGTGTCAAAGCATTACCAACAATATTAGGTAGAAAACACTTTGGCTTTCAAAAGCTCTACTGCAAAATAATAATTATATTGCAGGGTACCATATATATATATATATATATATATATATATATATGTCCAAAGGTGTATTTTGTCTATAGTTGTATGTATGTGTATGTAAAGTATACTGTAATGTGCCTGTGAAAAAAACAAAAAACGCTGCTCTTTACTTTCATAAATCAGCTAAAAAGCAGGAGGATTTAAGATGATGTAAGGCGAGAATATATTTGCCTCTTTCATTCAAGCCATAACTCAAATCCTGGAGACGTACATCTGAGAAAATACAAAGCTGCTGAGTACAGATTATTAGAAGATTTCCATATATACATCCTTTATTTAACCAGGTAAAAGACTCATTGAGATTAAACTATATTTTTCAAGAATGACCTGGCCATTGATGTGGATAAGAATTTACGTTCCACTAAGTGTGTAAGAGTGATGGAGGTTTCTTTGTGTGCATACTTATTTCACATAGAAACATAGCGACCTGGTTTCTGTTTTCATGTCTATGTAATATGTTTCTATATTCTCAATACTGTTTGCAATTTGGATTATGTGAATTTGCACAATGTTTCTAGTATAGTTTAGTATTAATAGTATAGTGATTGGAATTATGGTTTCACAAACATTTGCATAGTGCTAACAAAAGTATTTAAAAGCAGTTATATGTTTGTTGCCAGAGACAATTAAGCTTTTGAAATGAATTATAAAAGCAAAAAGATGAATTTGGGTTAAACATGTTGCTTTACAAATAGCTTCAACACATTAAATCAGTTTGTTGATCTAAATGCATGCTTATATGTCTATACAGCCTTTGTAGTAAATTTTAAATGACTGAAATGTCACGAAAATGCTTCTATAATGTATCCTTGATTAAATGTATTTATAACCAAATGTTTTCTGTAGTCTTAAAATATTGCCACTGAACATAAACCATTGATGCAGATTAGCTGTAAATGATTCATAAAGGACAGAAGAATTTCAGTGTTATCAGGGTGTGAAAATAAATGAAAACTGATTGGATGTACTTAAACATTAGATGGCAGTACATGGTGCATCAAAGGGGTGAGGTAGGTGCAAATTCAGTACAATATTTTGCTTCATGTTATGTTTAGAGCCGTTTCCGGATCACCTCCTCTACTGTATGTGTAGGTTGTACTCTTGGCTGACAGCTAATAGTGTTGTTTAGCAGACAGTTTTGTATAGGGTTGTTCAGCATGCAGTCTGAAGCAAGCTTATGGCTCTGCTTGCCAGCACAACGTTTTTAGAAATTAGCAGGGGAATTGAATCAGCACAGTTACATTGTCTGTGTAGAAACTGCACTCAACATAGTGAAAAAAGACACTGGCCTTTTTCATTTGTGGCCCGTTTAAGTCCAGTTCTTGTGTAGTTTGGATAGGCATAAAGTCTCTTGTATTTTTCCATGCCTTTTCACTATCACATATTATTTGACCATGGCTTTTAATTTAACATTAAAGTTAAACAAAATGAGACTGGAGGAATTAATTGAATGTAATGAATACATTGAATAAAAAGTTCCACTTTTGTACAACAGCTGCCAAAGGCCTTTCTGATGTCTGCAAATGTAATGGGCATGAGTTGGGAATATTTAGAGAAAAAATTTAGATGAAAACACCAGTGTGTATATTTGACAGTAGTCATTTTAACTCACAAGAAACAAAACATAGCGAAACCAACACTGGGCAATAACACCCTCTTATTGTCCATCAGTTCAGAACTCTGATTGCTTAACTAAGAGGAGAAAGACTTCAGTGATGGCTAGAAAATACTCCATTATAGAGCTGTTTCATGATGAACCATCAGTCCTGTTCAGTGTCTGATTAAAATAGACTGCTGATGTATTAGAAAATATTTCTGCAGCATGTAATTAGATTGAAGTGTATCTATCTCTTGAACAATATAAATTTCAGTCAATTGAATCTTTCTAGATTATTCTCACTATGGCCCTTCAGAACTGAGAATATGCACTTGAGGGTTCCAGTGTTTTGGACCATTTTAGTTACTTATCTGGTTGTTGAAGAAAAGGCTTTTTTTTCTGCCATTAGCACTTTCTACTATATCTCATCAAAGTTACTGATATGCCACATTTTGAGGAGATACTATCTAGAGTCTAAGGGATCCAACTCTACTCAACAGAACTCCCAGAATAAAGAGACAGAAAAAGGTTTCTCCTATATAAAAAATAAATTTTAAAAAGGGGGAAGTTGTGACATTTAGCATGTTTTATCTCAGCATCTGCCTCTAAAAATGACTGGTGCAATAAATGTGCGCAGCATTTTCAGCAGGTGTCAAACGAAATGGCAGAGATATAGAAAGATGCATGCTTTATGGTTTCATGTGACTTTAAAGGAGCCTTCACATTCTTAAACATGACATTTTATATAAAAATTTGGCTGGTTGGTCACCTTCAAGTACAAAGCATATAAGACGTAGTTGAGAGGATATGTGAAGGTAAGGCTGAATCACATCACGACCAGTTGACTTTAAAATATAAAACCAATGAAACAACTGCATATAAACAACTTGAAATTTATGGATGGGTTCCCAACATGTTATGACTGCATACAAAGTCAGATTGTTAAAGCTGGAATCATTTTTTATGGTAACAATGGATCAAATGATTCTGTTTAATTTGAAAGCTGTTGCCAATAGTTTTCACCACAACAAGTTTACAGTTTTATCAAGTTTGTGTTTAAAGTTTTTTCTGCTGCCCCCAAGTGGCCAAAAAGCTGTCCATGCTGCTTTAACTACTTCTCTGTACAGTTGCTGCTCTACTGTAGTAATCAAAAGTTATGTTACTCCAAACCAAAGGCCAAACTCTAAAATAGCTGTAACTCTCAGAATAGCTCTCAAGCTTATATGATTCGGTTCTTGAGATTCTTCCTCAGGAGGGAATGGTGTTAACCGATTTAAAAACAGCTCTCCAACTTCCTGTCTCATTCACCAGGTTCAGCCCTTATGAATGGTATGACGCCCATCCTTGTAACCCCGGATCAGATGTGGTGGAAAACAACTTTACCCTGCTCAACAGCTTCTGGTTTGGAGTCGGTTCCTTAATGCAACAAGGTATGGCGTTGCACACATCCTCTTACCTGTCAAAAACAATACGATCACACCAGCCACCTTTTCCTGTGCTCTGCTAGCTCCCACTTTCTGCCTCTTTAACTGACAAGCTCCATGATTTCCATTCCGTGACTGTTTCATAAGACATTTACCTGTCAAGAACAACTGCAGAGCTCAGTCTTACATGACAAGGGAAGGCTGTTGTCACCTACCTGCTGTTTAAAAAGGGAAGAGTAGGTGCCAGGCACTTGTCAGAGATTGTCAGCTAAGGATGGAAAACATTGCTGCATTTATTTCCCCATAACACAGTCGCTGGCCCTGCTCAAGAGCTTTCTGAGTGTTAGGACGAAAAGGGTAAGTTGAGGAACATGTCTGACAAATACCAGCTGTCAGCCATGCTAGAACTGGCTGGTGTGATGTTTTCAGCGCTATACGACTTGCACTGAGAGTGCCCCGCTGTAGAGAATCCATATGTCTCACTGTCCAACAAGTAGCGTACCAATTAAATGTCACTGCGATCTTGTTTGATGCTAATATACAATTTTTAAAGTCAGAACAAAAGAAACACGTTCTTCTTTCAACACAAGTACCCAACATGTACTGTATTAATAAACCTCCCACTGCGAGTTAATTCTACCTTTTGTCCAAAAAGATACAAATTATTTTTAACATGCTAGGTGTCCCTTAAAGGAATAGGTAACCAAATGAAAGCCCAGAAATAACATAATGAAGTCAACAGTGGAGGAAAAAGACCCAAGTAATAAAATGTTTAACCTCAATGTAACAAGACAAATCAAGGAGGCTTAGTAAGACTCGGCAGTGGATCTTTGCCCGTAAGGATAGCAAACACATTCAGCAATTCATTAAGCACAGAAGCTCGGCAGCACTCTTGTGAAACTGCATAGTAGCTCTGCCAATTTGCTGGTACAGGCAGAGGGCTGCGAGTGTAGCACCAGCGTGCCGGGAGGGAGAGGAGAGAGAGAATCAAAACAAAATGAGCTAGTTAGTAGCCTATATTATTAAACTAAACAGGGAAAATTTCCCCATTATAATTCATACTGTGGCTCACAGTGTTGTCTGTCAATGCCTGAGCTCCAGTGTTTCTCATATTTACAGCGGTTTACCAAAGCTGCTACTGCTAATTAGTTTTTATTCATAGCTGCCTGAATAAAATGTTTCACATTGGGATATCAATGGGTTTAAAATTAAGTATCTTCAAAAACACCTTCACAATGATATTGAACATATACTATAATGTAAGTTTTAAATTGACATGTACTGTTTTCTGGCTTTCCATGACACCCATTTGTTCTACAGTACCTTGTAACACATGCTATATGGTGGTATCTGCAGCGAGGTATATTTTGTCTGTCACATAAACAGACAACCCCTGCTTGTCTGCCAAACACAGTGACAGCAGCTGAGACGGAAGCCATTTCCTTGACATGTTTAAAATGCAAATGGACGTGTTTGAGGAGATCCAAAAAAAAATCTACCAGCTTGTCTGTGGGAGGGAGGTGTCATACACAACACAAAGAACACAAAATGTGAGGAGGTGCAAAAAGCAAACACTGTGTACTTCAAAAGAATTCCTGGGGGTCTCAGTAGGCTTTTGCTCACAACAAACATATGTCTGATCATTTCCCGTAAATTGGTTTCCCCATATAAAATTATTTTTGAAAGTACGTTTGATTTATGAGTTGACTCATTTCCAATCCGCAATTCTCACCGACATTTTCCCTTGATTTTCTAAAACATATTTCTACTCTAAATATTAGCAAGATGCAAAGTTGTAAGCCTAAATTATTGCATTCTTCATTCAGTCCTTTATGCAAGAATAAATATGGGGTGGTGTTTTGTCTGTGGTTCAGAAACCAGAGTTGTGACTTTGCCCCTTCTTGAGATTCAGATCAAGATGTACTTGCTATGGAATAAACATTTCCAATCAGAAGTGTCACCATTTAAAAGCAATTAACTACTAGTAAAGCCTCAAGCTCTGAAAGGAAGTTTTTGCCATGACTCCACAGAGAGACGCCTAAGTGCAGGTAATCATTCTCATGGGAAAGCCTAGTCCTCTCATGTTAAGGTGAGGCATTGCTAGTGGGAAGAAACACTCCAGAAAACCGGGGCATTAAGCACAATGCACTACTGAATCCACAGAGAACGTTTTTTTTCCCCCTCCCAACTGACATTTCAAAAAGCATCATTAAATACAAAACATTCTGTTTATTTATTCAAGGGAGAATAGCAGTGTCAGGATGACTTCTTTGTGATCTCTTCTTAAGAAATGTGTGCTGTAGTGTTAGTAGTGGCTATAGACATACTTGTACATTAACTCCTCTATTGTATATAGTATTCACAAATGCTGCAAAAAGGAGCTCCCACACAATAAATGAATGCACAGCTGGCGTTGTTTTAACCTCAGTCAACATTAAGTCTAAAAGCTGTTTCCCTGAGTGCTTTTACTAAGAATATTTATGCATTACAGAGGAACTGTTGAAACATGGAAACTTTGATATAGAAATCATAAGACTGGATGATAAAACAAATCCAAAATGAGTTAAAAATGCAACAGCACAGCTTTTCTCAGACTTCAACTAAAAGAATCTGCAAATTCCAAAATTCTACTTTTTAATATTATTTTTCATATAAATTCTCTAAACCCACTTTTGAGGCTATTAAGTACAGCTTAAGAGTTTTCTTTTTTAAAGCAAAACATCTCCTGAGAAACAAAAATTTGCTAAATTATAGCAAAAAATGTAATAAAATGTACATTTAAATGTGCCATTTTCTTATAATAACAGTATACAAAATTCCCTCTGCTGAGTACAGACTCAGGTGGGGTTTTGCACAACTAAAGGCTAAAAGTTAGCATACCACATATTCAGAGTGATTCATTAGCATTTTTGTGTGTGAACTTACAGATGGACAATAACTTGGTACTGCTGGATTTAATAAAAAATGTTAGAGCCAGTGTTTGGTTTGTCCCTTCAGTAGAAACATGGTGGTTCAACATTGTGGACTCTAAAGAAGGCAACCTGCAGTGTCTGTAGATAAACAAGGCTCATTCTAAGGTAACAAAAACATAACAATTGAAATAATATGGCATAATAAGCCGTTTTTGACGACAAGCAAATTTCTGAATCTGATCACAAAAATGTCTATATTGCCACAACAGAAATCCCACAATGATATTTGTACTTCCGTGTATGTATAGTCTTAGGCAGCTATTTACAGTATCCATGTGAATGAGCAATGCAGGAGTCAGCGAGATAGATGTGATGTTTTGGTTACTGAAATAGTATCAGTATCGTCCTCCCTGAAAGAACATTTATATTTCCTTGGTTTACAAGATATGAGTCCTTCCTCAAGGAAATGTATGGCATATTGACACCATTTTATTTCCCTGGCACCATATGACTGATATGCTTTTTGTATTTATTAGAGTGTTCTGATGTAGCGCCATATACTGTTCCCTGCTGACAACAGCACTTTATAGTGTGGATTTCAATTGAGTTACCCGTTGCTTCACTTCATTTTTAGTGCAACCAGAGGATGCATCTGGATCTTCCCTCTCTGAAGCCAGAGTGAATTAAGGGATGCTACTGTCTTCCCTTGTTTGTAACTGTGTAGAGTCTTTGTCAAACCACAAAGGACAAATCCAATCAAATTTGGTAGAAGAGGTTAAAGAGCTGACCACTCTGCCCCCCTTCTGTGGGCTTGTTACTCTTTAGAATTGCCCTCATAAATCTTCTCAGTAAAGTAACAGAGTGCACAAAGCACAAGGGTATTTTAAAGGTTGTCAGAGATGAGATATAAAGTAACTTTAACACCAGTCAGTGAGCCATTGTAAACATAGTATTACTCAGCAGAGGACCACTCAAAGTCAAGGCTGATGCAGAAGTGTGTGTCAGTCTGGCTAGGTACTATATCTTGATTATTCTTTTTCCTTTTTTTTTTATACAGACTGTGATGATTTGTTAATGTGTACATCTGGTAAATCTGATAAGCTTTGACATTACATAATAGGAGCATGGTAGGAAACTTAATTATGGTTAGTGTGAAGTACATGTAAAGTAACACTGGAACATATAATACTAGAAATAATCAAATTAGGTCTGGTAGTTTTTATATTCCCTCATTAAAAGTTTTTATAGTCTATTTTCAATTAAAACATAGTTTGTTACTGATGTGTAAGATCTCAAAGCAACATAAATTGATAGTCTGCAACAAACTTTTGCAGTTTGATAGAGTAAACAGTGAAAGTTACTGCTGCCAACTCTAAAAGGCTCACATAAAAGGCTTTTTATACCCAATGTAGAAGCCTGAGGAATATACAGTTTACTGGTCTGATCAGCCTATTCTGAATTTTTAGCTTAGGGTTTGAAGAAACTGCCAAACTGGCTTCTTTTTCTGTTTCCTCACTGACAGTAGCTTGATCAACACCAGTGGCACTGCCAGAAACATTTGCAGGCTAATTAACAAAAACGCAAGCCATCATGTTTCTGAATTTGTTTAATTCAGTTACAGTATTGGCAGGTACAGTTAAGTCAATTCTACTAATACTCTTTCACTATGTGTTGGTTGCATACAGGCTCAGAACTGATGCCCAAAGCCCTGTCGACAAGGATCATCGGTGGGATCTGGTGGTTCTTTACACTCATCATCATATCATCCTACACAGCAAATTTAGCAGCTTTTCTAACTGTGGAGAGAATGGACTCACATGTGGACTCAGCCGATGACATTGCTAAGCAGACCAAGATTGAGTATGGCGTGGTCAAAGATGGCGCAACCATGTCTTTCTTTAAGGTATGGTACACACTAGTTGTATGAAAACAATTTTAGCATTATTTCATTAAAAAAAAATATTAGACAGATCAATTACTGAAGGTACTACACAGATATAGAATAAAAAATGTCAACCACAATATAGTCTCTTTATTACTTATTTCATGTATTTTACAGTGTGAAAACAGTCATACTGTAGCTGAAGCCTGGCAGGTACAAACATGTACAGTAATAATGTTAAAAAATCGATGTGTCAAGAAATGAGGCATGATGTGGAATCTTGAGTTTTTAAATTGACTTTTCAAAAAACTTTTTTTCTATATAGTAGGTGTATATATATTTTTACAGTTAGATCTTAATTCCCACAGCAAAGGGAAATTCTTCAGCTTCTCCACTTCTCTACACTGTTTGATGTGTTCCTCCATAATGATTTTTTTATTCCGAAGTTTCAGCGTTTGCCTGCAGGGTCTTTGACTTTATTTTATTATTTTGAGCTTTGCTTTAGATGCTGCTGCTGCTGCTAGGGTGCTGAATAACACATGTAACAGAGTTACAGTTTCTCAGAGTAAGAAAATGAAAACACTGCACATTTCTATTGAAGATGGTCCATAATTTTATGACATTCAATAGCAAGAGAGTAAAAGAAATCGATTCTTCCAGGGCATCTGTCTGCCCTAGTATTTATGCCCCCTAAAATTTGTAGTTGAACTAATAAATGCTCTATGCCTCATTGTTGAATCTGCTGAATGGTATGTGTATACTGGATCCCCCAGATTATGTCATTTGATTTAGAGATTTTTGCTGATATGTATGATGAAAACAATATCGGTGTCTTGGAATTACATCCAATTGTGTTCATATTAAGTATGTAATGATAATTTGTGCGCCTGGATACAACTCAACTTGTTGACCCTTCACTTCTTCCGAATATCTACAGTATGTAAATGAAAGTTATTCTAGATCATTTTCTTACTTACGTACTCATAAATCACAGTTGTAGCGTCATAAATAGGAGACGCAGGTGTTTAATTACCTCATCAGAGTTGCATGGCTCAAGTGCCCTCTGCTCCCTCTTGGTCTTACAGAAAAGCCTAATGAACTCAACTCAATGAGGCAGAGAAGCATGATAAATACTGAGGAGAGCGGGGAGTAGATAAAGGCTTTGCAGATGTATGTAACTGGATGGATTCTTTCCTAAACTTTTGTTCAAATTCCTTGCCACCAGATAGCAGATGGTTAGTTACTGTACGAGCCAGATGTGGCTCTGTGACACTGAATCAAGAATACATGTCCAGAGAAAACTAGTTAATGTTGTGTTGTGAATTGTGGCAAAATCCATTAGCGAATATTTTAGCGATGGCTGACCTGGTACTCTGATAGCTAACCAGAAGGCTTTATCTATTATCAATACTGTTGAAACAACAAACTGTTTGTAGCCGCTGTTGTCAAGGAGGTTGTCACATCACCTAAAAACCCTCTTATGAGGGGATGTTTTGTTAAATTGCATGTCAAATCAAGAGCGTTGAAGGGCACATGAAAGCAAGTCTAACTGCCCCGAAGGAAAGTAGCTTTCACTTTCTGTTAAAGGGTTGAAGGAAATTACTGGATGCAGTAGTATGCCAATTTGCACTTTTAGCAGATATAAGGGATCTATAGGGAAGCATCTGTTATCATGAGACCAGCATAAGCTGTGTACTAAGCTGCTAGGTCCAGGTTTATCTGACCTCAACTACTATTCTGGGAAAAAAAAGTGACAAAGATGCAACCTTGGCAACACTTGCAATTCATCCTAATTGGTAGTTTTAAGTTTTAATATCAGGCTATAATATCTCAATTTTAACCAACCAGGACTGTGCTTCTACTGTAGTTACATATAATGGAGGCCTTCTTATAATAGCATCTTTCACAATTTGAAATGGCTTATAGTCTTTAGACAGTAATTATCTAGGATTAGACATGGCATAAATGTGACCTCATATGAAATTGCATGAAATACCACATAGCCTGATGCAAGACTAATGGAGAGGCATTCTATTATTGCTGCTTCAGTAGCACTTATGAGAATAGATGTGTGCAAAGCTTCAATTTACTGTCCTTTAATCCTGTGACAATGGAGATCTGTAGGAGTAATCATATAAATCTATTTGGTCACTGGCTAAAGAATCTGTATTTCTAAATACTATACGTTTGATCTTTGACATTTTCTATTCAAGCATTAAAAAAATCCCCATAGGCGTAAAGTTATTCTGCCATTCACCAGGGCTACAGAGGGACTGGCAAGATTTCATGGTTAGCAGTATTTTCAGCTTTAACACCCTGGGCTGTAATGTTGAAAGTAATTTTGTTCAAGCTCAACCTTTTTTTAGTGGTAAAAGCATTGTATATTTTTCAACCACTTTTTCCCTACCTGCAGCAAGGGAGATTGTTCAAATGGGGTTCAAAGGCACATTTTTTAAACGGGCTCTTTCCATCCCTTACAGAAATCTAAGGTTTCTACTTTTGAGAAGATGTGGGCCTTTATGAGCAGCAAGCCAAGCACATCACTGGTGAAGTCTATTGAGGATGGGATTCAGAGGGTGCTGAAGTCTGACTATGCCCTCATTATGGAGTCCACAACTATCGATTACATCACCAAGAGGAACTGTAACCTGACACAGGTGGGAGGGCTCATCGACAGCAAAGGCTATGGCATCGGCACTCCCCTCGGTAAGACCTGTGAATGACCACAGAATACATTTTAAACTACCAAGTAATAAAAAATTCAAGCCAGTTTTATAAGTCGTGTGCTGCCTTTTGAAGGATCAGGGCGAGGGACTGCTTCTTAGACAACGCAGAGGCATAAGATGTGTTTTTTTTAGCTACTAGTCAGACAGTATGCCACAACATGTTTATGAACCTTATTATCACAGAATCCAGCTGGCGTTTCTTCCAAAGTAAAACAGGCCTTATGTTGCTTCCAGGCTCTCCGTACAGGGACAAAATCACCATAGCAATCCTAAGCATCTTGGAGGATGGGCGCCTACACATGCTGAAGGAGAAGTGGTGGAGTGGGAGCAGCTGCTTGGATGAAGAGCGTCGCGAGACAGGCCCCATGGGTATCCAAAACCTGGGTGGTATATTCATTGTGCTGGCATCTGGCCTAGTGCTGTCTGTTTTTGTGGCAATTGCTGAATTCATCTACAAGCTAAGGAAGACTGCAGAACGTGAACAGGTATGTGTCCCCATAAATTATTTGCAGATTTTTTTTCAGTTGATCTTTGCTCTCTAGTTTGGATGGATGTAAAATTAAGCTAACATTAATTTAATTACACTCCACCAGGATTTCAGTTATTTCACCCTCGATTTTAGCAAAGAAGTTGCTAACCATGCTTATTTTGTTATGATACACGATGCCTCTAAACCAAAGCTGTGCTCTATTCATGGCTTTTAGTTCAAACATCTTATAAAAGGATTTGCATGCCTTTGGCTAATCCCTAGGAGTACTTGGCCATAACACCACAACATTTACTTATTTTAACATGCATAATTGCAAATTGGAGCATAGAGAATTAATCCATTATTAGTCATTGGAGATGTCAGAATAGCATGAACCCTTTACCGTTTTAAAATCACTAATTTGAGTCATGCTAAGTGAGTGGTTGCATGCAGGCTCATGCACCATACTTGTTCACTCCTTCTGACACAGCAGCAATAATGAACCGTGTGCAGGCTACATGTGGTGGTGGTGTGATTTGACATTGCTGACAGCCATGGATGCATGTGCACACATACACACACACACACACACACACACACACACACACACACACACACACACACACACACACCAGCAGTAACACAGCATGAATGTTATTTTCTAATGCATTTTGTGGTCTTTACACTGTGGACACTCTCTGCTGTCAGAACAATTTAAAGCTAAGGCATTTACCCCCCGTCCCTTTCCCCTCTTCTCCTTCTTGCTCTCCTCCCCGCATCCTCCCTTTTTGCCCAGAGGTCTTTGTGCAGTGCCATGGTGGACGAGATCAGACTGTCGTTCACCTGCGAGAGGCGGGTGAAGCACAAGCCTCAGCCTCCAGTCATGGTGAAGACGGATGCAGTGATCAACATGCACGCTTACAACGACCGACGACTCCCAGGAAAGGACAACATGAGCTGCAGCACTGGGATGACTCCCGTGTTCCCATGACAATGTGTTCCCCCCAGGGCAAGAACCTCCTGAGCAACGTGTCAGGGGTGGTGCCAGAGACTAGAGACAATGGCATAGATGGAATCACCAGATTCACCATTAACCACAGTGACATGGGGACACTAACAAAACATGGGCAACTCAAAATGGCAGCATCAGCCACACAGGTATGACAACATTCACCACCGTATTCCAAACCACAAGAGGTAAAATAAATATTTGGGGAAGGTTACTGGGAAAACAGTATACCCAAATAATACGTTTCAAGTCTGATGTTTACGTGCGCAACACAAAAACACAAGAAAATACACAGTGAAAAGACTGAGAATTTTATTGGGAAATATGGACTGAAGCAAGAAGAAAGGCTTTGTTAAGAATGGCAATAAATGGCAGATATACAAGGAGGAAAAGGAAGATCAGTTTTCATTGAAGATCAGTTTTGCCACATTTAAATTATGATATCAAGTTCTTACCTTTATCCTGTTGAATTTCATAAACTCCTGAATGGCCTTTGACAGCCGAAAATAATGTTACCTCAAACATGTTGTCTAGGCTTGAGTGATTATCTTTCAGTCATAAGCTGCAGGATCTTTTGAAAGCATGGTTCACAGGGACACATATGATGTAGGTGGAAGCCCATAGCGAGATACAATTGTTGTGAAGTTGTTATGTGATATTATATTGTTACACAGAAGAAATTAATCATTGATATAAAGCAAAGCTGGAATGGGGACACGCCTTTGTTAAAAGATTCCACATTAGATCATGTTTTTGCGGGGTTGGATTTATTTGAGCAAGTATGTTTTATGTCAAAATCATTTTGTAGACGATTGAATCAGTTAAATTGCCAAAGATCTGACCATTCAACAGAACTATATACAGTACAGTATGGGCCAGTTCACTTAGCTTTTTAGAGAGTGCTTATTTTGTTTTTAATGCAAAGTAAATTGGAGTGGTTTAAATGGGACTATTAAGGGATCGTGCTCTAACAGTGTTTCAAACCATGTAAGGTAATATGTATCCAAAGTAAAACCCATTTGGAACAGCATTGTATTTTCTAATTTACGAACCACATCACGTCAAAATATTGTTATCAACACTGTAATGTAAAACAATCATTACATAAGCAGCATGAGAAAAAAACCTGATGACTTTCCTGATGAAATGTCTTTCTGAAATCACAACCTTGGTCATGTGTAAATTCCAAAAGGATAATCACAGAAATACTGAGCAATTATAGGAACCAATTTCAAAAGTTTGTACTTACCTTTGATGGAATTGTAGCATGTATGTACTTTTAAAAAAACATATATCTACAGACTGGGTTTGGAAGGCATTGGATCAGGTATTTCTGTTTATATCTTAGTTAAATAACTAATTGTAAGTCACAGAGACAAAAGGTAAGAGACTGTGACCTTAAAACTCAACTTTTTTGAGTGCATTTAATTGTGACCATCCATCCAATCATGAGCTGGACCTTGTCCATGTGTGGCTACGGGACTACTGAATGTCACAAGTACTTCTGAACACATTTTTAAACCGTTACTTCATTTCTCATCAGATGTGATCTATAGGCTTTTTGGCTGGAAACTGATTGTTTCGCATTATGAGGGTTTAGTTTAAAAACATGAAAAGATTTCAAAGGTTATCTCAGACTTGAAAGCCTTTTCTGTTTAATTACCAATTGTGGAAAATCCATACTTGTAGTGTGTGAACATGCTGAAAGATAGTGTGGTGAATAGACAGAAGACAGATGGTTTTGTGTGTTCATGTTGACTTTAATGCCTATTTCGTAAGTGTACATCTTCAGCAAGTGTCATGCCGTAGGAGGCTTCGAGGAGTCTGTGAGCTGCTGTCACCTGGGAGCTGAACGAACAGCAAACCTCTGTGAGGTTAACGTTGTTAAAACATCGAGACAAAAAATGATTCAAGGAAACTCCAATCTGTAAAACTTAGAGTTGGTTTGGTAGAAATTCACTGTATAATTGTTTATCAATTCCCTTCTGCAAAGTAGAGTATGTAGATAAGATCAGCAGGAGAAAATGTATTTTGCTAAATTTATACGGTTATAAATGAATTCTGTTCACAGTCAAATATGTTATAGATACTATTTATTTCATTAGAGAGGTCACTTTAACCTACTTCCTCACTGTACCCCAGTTCCGCAGCCCCAAACCTTGTTTATTTATTTAATGGAAATTAATTATATTATGGTATATTGGATTACTATCATCCAGGTGGGAAATGTGTGTAAATCTTCTTTTATGATGGCTAATATATTTCTACAAGGTAAACATGAAATGGAAATGTTGAGCTTTCCCAAGAATTTAGGGGACACTCCCTTAGAGTAAGGAGAGTAGAATCTATCTTATGTAACTGGACCTTTACTGCTCTTGAAATCCCGATTAGGACCTGGTCTAAGGTATGGCCGTGGCCGACACCTGGTTATACTATATTACTGTTACCCTCACGTGTACTGTAGCTTTCCATGCAGGTGATTAAAGACTCAAGTTTGCTTGTATTTCACCTCTGTAATATGTGAAAATAATTGAAAAGTTCATCATAATCAAAATTAGTTAAAATTCCAACAGGGTTTCTGATTTGGCTGATTCAGTCAGTTTGGTTACTGAATATATTCATCTTTTTTATAAATTAATGTGAATAATAATGTCATTTTACACAAAATTGTATGAAATGTGAGAGAAAAGTAATGCAAAATGTAAGCTACATAACCTGTGTTCCATTAGCAGTGTGTGATATGAGTTTTGATTTTCCAGCAGTCACGATGGTATGCCTTTTTATGTATACCTTTCTTTTGAGTTGCACAGCTTCTATCATTTGGCAGAAAACCTTTCAAACAATACGAAAAATATGTTGGTGCCAACCAGGGTTTTCTTTGTGGACATGCAGAATTTCTATGAATATAGTTTTTGTAAGGTTTTGTAAAAAAAAAAGAAAAAAAAAGATTTTGTTTTCCTAGTAACTGTATGTGTTAAGAGAACATTAGAATAACCGACATCTGAGTAAAACATGGGGAAATTCAACGAAATATTATAGAAAAGCTATTGAATTATTTTCTTTTTAACACATTGTGAATAATTCAATTGTACAGTTTGCTGTATGGGTTATATGAAGTTTTAAATAAAAAATACAAACTATTTATATCTCCTGTTGAGCTACTGATTGATTGATGTACAAACATGTTGCAAAACATGGACTTGAGGTGAACTCAGTCAGTAGATTGTTACAGTATTACAATGTTACAGGTAAAGTTAACTATTTTGGACTCATTTGAGTTTTACATTGCAGAGATTATTAGTTATGCTGTAGTTAGGGTTTATAGGTACAAAGATGCTAAAACCTGCTGTAAGAATAATAATAATAATAACTGTCTATATTGCACAGAGTTTACAAAGTACTTTGACAAAGCAGTCATAGGTATAAGTTTAGTATTATTGATTAGAAAGGTTACACTAAGTAAAATATTGACATTGACTCAATTTTAAAGCCCAGTATCTATGACGATTTTTCCAAATTACCTGCAACGTTATTAGATTAGAATAGATTAGATTTTAATAACTCCAGTGAGGGATCACAGCACAATGTAAGGATATGAAATGACATGACAAACATAAAAAGTACATTGAATAATTAATGCAAGCAAATGTATTGAAACAAAAATATTAAACAAATACAAATAAGGATATGTCATTATTATTATTATTATGCTACTTTACCAGATGTGAGATGAAATGCATTGTACATGAGGATGTTTCCATGCATGCAAATATGTTTATATCACTTAATGAATTTGTTTGCACTAACCATTTTTAAATTATTATTTCCTGGGAAGAAAACAGAGAAAGAGTCCTGCACACTGTCCATCACTTGTACTCATTTTTTGAAAATAAAGAAAGTGAGTACAAGTGAAAGACAGAGTGCAGGTTTTTTTCTTCCCAGTAGAGAATTTTTGATCTGACACACCTGTCCCCAAGACTTTTATTTTTTGGAGAATGTGACCTAGATTAGCTATGAGAAAATAGATGAGAAAACAGCTGCCTAGATAGTTAGCAAGATACAGGTCAGTAACAGCCTAATGCACGTGGCAGCTCTGTGTGCTGAAACTAGAAATTGAGGAACCTTTGAAAACTCAACATCTGAAAAAGTGTTTCAAGGTAACAGGAATTATTCAGTACCATTAAAAGGTCCAGTGTGTAACATTTTGGAGGCTCTATTGGCAGAAATGGAATATAATATTCATAGCATGTTTTCATTCCTGTATATTTACCTGAATATAGGAATTGTTATGTTTTCCAACTACACCGCTAGATGCTACTAAATCCTACACACTGGTCCCTTAAACCTTTTCCATGAATGGGATATTTTCTATTGTCTTATGCTAGATAAGGAAAAGGAAAAAACACACATATTCAAACTGAGTGTTGTGTTTGCATGCAACAGCGACTGCTTAAGGCTGCTCAGGTCGATCACGTTAAACACCGAGAGTGCAAATCTAGAGAGGGAGAAAGGAATAAACGTGCTTCAAATGGTGTTCATGCATGAATGAATATGTGTTGTGACGTGAGGTAGCCAATGGTGTGTGATAGGCAAAGATTGACCTTGCTGGCGTTGTGATGGCAGACATGCGTGTTAAAAAAGCAGGGGGAAACCCCAGGCCCTGGCGTTGAGGAGCAGCGGGCGCATAATGAGCGATGGGCAGGGGCCTTGCGCCTAATGGGAAGATTTATTATCTCTCACTATCAATTAATCCCTTCGGACAGACTGGGGCCAGCAGGAGCGCATCAGGAGTATGTAAAAAAGAGAGAGGGAGACCGAGGGAGCGTTGGAGTCAGCCAGATGAAGAGAAAGAGATGTGAAAGGACATGAGAGGTGGAGGCAGTGGGGTGAAATGAAAAAAGATGGTGTGAGAATAGGAGAAACCCAAGGAGACTGAGGGAATGATTTGAAGATAATACCCACAAACATTTGAGAGCTATACATAGAGTGAAGAACAGCGGGTTAATGACAAAATGAAGAAAGAGGTATAGTTGGTAATAAGATATGAGCAAGGGAATAAAATGCAGGAATTAGATGAAATAGAAATAAAAGACAAAAAAAATAATGAGTGAAGCAAAGACAAGCCAAGACGTCTATGGAAGAACATTAAACAGAATATGGAAGACTGACACAACACCACGAACTGCTTTGTGCACATGCTTTTAAAGATTAGCTATATGTTCGGCTTGAAATATCTCACTGGACTGGCGGTGCAATAATGTAGACAACAATCTCTAGAAGTAGGTCAACAAATATAGACTATTTCAAGCCTTTTTGAAAATAAACTACACAAATGGCTTTTAATGAAAAAAATTATTCCATTCGAAGGCAGTTGTATGTGGTGGTGCTCAGTTATGTTAGAGTGGCTTTTAAGAAAAGGAACATTTTTCTTTTTTTGTGATGGAAAGTCTATGTTTGATTTAATCTTAATGGGGCTGCTGCCTAATGTAGAGCCATAAACTATTTATCTAGAGTGGTTTTACATAGTGTTGCTCATGTTTTAAATAGCAGAGGCAATGAAGGACATTAGGACTTTGTAGTACCTTTACAGTCCTCAATCTCTGCAGATTTATTCTCACATACTGCATGGAGAAAGTACAACCTTAAGCCAACCTCCAGCGTCTTTGCCATTAGGAGACTGCCTTGGTCTGTTGCTCATGCACGCTCGTGGCGGTATTCTCACTCCGATGGCACATGTCCAGACCAGTGCTCTTTTTGATGACCTTGACAGGGCCGTCAGTGGGTGATGTTCTGCTTGACACTCCAGGGCGATGTGCTGGAGCCCGATAGCAGTGCATCATCGACCCATTTGGGGGTGAATGAATGCCCGACCCATGCTATGCCCATCTCTGTAGACCCACTGGGTGAGAGACCCATCTTAGCTGAAGCTGCACCAGAGGATTGGCTTGATAGCAGGGCCAGTGTGCGCTGAACCTTATTATAGGCACTGTCATCATCCTAGAAAACTGAATTCCCTCCAGGTAGCACAGGATATGTAGCTGTAAAGGATGCAGCTGAATAAAAATTGTTCTGGAGGAATAAAGGTGGATTTCACGTTCAAACAAAAGAGCAGAGGCTATTACAGACCAGGGTATGGATAGTTAGTTTTTCATGAAATTAAACCCAAATTTTAATACTATGTATGGTTGTCATTTTTTCAGCAATAGCCGTTGAATGTATTTACATTCAGTAATTACAACTCTATATGATAGCTTTCATTGTTAGTGACAGAGTGCCCCATTCTTGCATTGGATTCAGATTGCCTTCACATGCAGTCATTCACAAGAAAAGATACAGCATGCAATCCAGCCTTATTGTGATTTTATTTCAGTGATGTCACCCTCACTGTTGGTCACTCTTCTAACGCAAACCAAATATTTCTTACCGCTGCTGCTGCTTCACAATAAAAGCCTAACTGGCAAAAAACATGGCATGGGTAACAGCAGTTGATCTAAAAAGCAATAATTTTCAGGTTTTTGATTTCATTTTGAAGTTTACAAAGAGCTGTTAGATGAAGTGTATGAAGAAGTGCAATTTACAATTTTCACTCACGGAAGAGTACACATTTTGTGTTATTTCGCATTCCAGTATTGACTCAAAATCCTAATTTAGCCACCAGCCAAAGGAAAATATCATCACATGTACTTAAGTGGTAGTCAAATGTCAAGACTGTATTGACACTGATACATTTTCACTTTCATATATGGCAGTGTGCCAAAGCTGGATTAGACTAATAGGTCGATAGCACTGTCCATCCCAATAACATTAAAAAGATGAACAATTAATGAGTGTGTAATTACAGCACACCATAATGCACTAATGAAGTAGTACCACAGTGGGAATACTCATATTCTACCTTCCATAAGGAGCTTGGCATGTATCATATTTGTACAAGGAGACACCATATGGCAGAATGTCGGAATGAGAGAAAACTATTGTTTATTCCAGACCCCATCTCTTTTATTGCAATTCACTGACACCACCAATATCAGAGGTTTATCTTCACACCATCATATTGAATTATCCATTTGGCTTTAGGTGAAATAGCCTGATAGAGACATTGCCCGCCAAATGCCTTGGCGACTTGCTCTTTGTGTTCTCTGTCTTTGACCCTGATAATGACTGGAATAGAGGCTTTTCATGAATATAAATATAGAATTGGATGAAAGGCAATTTTCTCCAGTGTGCATAAAATAACACTCTTGAACATTTAATGTAGAGTAGTGTTTGTCAAGAAGGTACTGAGCTTTTGCTTTTTAACATTGTGCTGTGCGCTCAGTGGCCACTCTATTAGGTACAACTCTTCATTTATGTAAATCACTCACTCCTCTAGAGAGTGAGTCATGTAAAGCCTAAGCATACTTTAAAGCTTACACACACTGTTAGCTACATGTTACAGTAGAATGCGCATGATGCAATAATTACATGTTGTTTACTTTGAAAAATGAACAACAGTTTGTGCCAGCATCTGACCTTACCAAGAATTTATGCAGAAGGACAAAACACATGCAATCAGCTGCAATACTGAGGGCAAAACCACCTTGTTCATAAGAGGTGTCACGGAATGATAAGATCCATTCAAGCTGACAGATCGGCCACAAGTACAAAGAAGAATATAACCATGCAACTACAGTGTCATAGCACTGGTAGGTTAAAACATGAAAATAGTTTAAGCCATAATGGTAGGGTATGATGGAGGTATAGGAAAATGCTGCATATGTTTCTACTGCCACATGCTGTTGACTAAGAGCGTGATGGAAACAATGTGACTCCATCTGATAGTAGTAATGGTGGTAGTGAAGATGGTGGTTTATTGAAACTGGATTGTTTCGATTCCCCTAATTTATACCAATAAAATATAATTTCAATGCTAAACTCTTCCTACACATTGTTTTTAACAGTGTGTAGCTTTAAATGACAAACAGATATTTCAAGTATTCTGCAGATGTAAATGTTATACTACGTTAAATATCCAGATCACAGCGTCAATCAACCTAGAAAACAAATACAATCGCACACATAAGAGTGCATTTATACTATTATGTGTTTATACGTTGGAGATAAGATATTATTGTTGGGTTATAAATGAATGAATTAGGGA